TTCAAAATGGATTTCTACAGGTGCACGATAGAGAGTATCCTCACTGGCAGCATGACGGCCTGGTACGGCAGCTGCACCGACCTCGATCGTAAGGCTTTACAGAGGGTGGTGAAAACTGCACAGCACATCACCAGGACGGAGCTGCCATCCATGGAGGACCTTTACTCCCAGCGGCTCAGGAAGAAATCACTACGGATTATCAAAGACCCCCATCACCCCAGCCACAAACTGTTCTTTCTGTTGCCGTCTGGCAGACGTTACCGCAGCATCCGGGCAAGGACAAGAAGATTCGGAGACAGTTTCTTCCCGCGGGCAGTGAGACTGTTAAACAATTGAACTGTTGAAACAACATCAAACATTCAACTGCTACTCAGTAGTATGTATCTAATACCTAATATATATATATCATTCCAATAACTTGTATATAGACTCATACTGCACTATTCCACATCATAACTTTATTTCATTTTTATAACTATTATTATTTTTGTATTGCTCTTGCTCTTATTGTTATTATGTTATGTTATTATGTTGCATTGTTGGAGAAGCCTGTGACATAAGATTTTCAACTGCATAATTACTCTGTAGCTATGTCAGATTGACAATAAAGAACCTTGAACCTTGAAGACTAAATACAGAGAGGGGTAATCACAAGACAAGACACAGCTGGGGTAAGGGAGGCAGAAACACAAGGGCAACAGGTGAACACAATCAGACACACCAGGGAAACTAACGACAGGAAGGCAAACACAGGAAGAAGGAACAGAGAAGACACAAGAGGCCTGTACTACGAAGCTGGATTTTCGCTTAGCCGGCTAACTTCAGGGAAATCTCGGGCTTTCCGGTCCTACGACGCTGGTTCTCTTTTTAGCAGGCTAGATTTCCATGGTAACTTATGCTGAGCGGCAAACCTGCTCCGGAGCAGGTTAGGTGGCAGGCTAAGAGATCAACTCAGTGAAAGCACTGCCTGCTGACCAATCAGAGCTCCGTGTGCGGAGTTTAAAGCGATCAATTCATATTACAGGATAGAGGAAATACAGAAAAACTGCCGTTGCAGGAAAGACGGCCGGCCAAAATCAACTGACTGTGTGAACGTGAAAATTAATAGAATATCCCCTCCCATCTTCAGAGCAATCTGACTATTATAATATTAGCGTTAAGAAAGCTTACTTAAATATCTGCCACGACATAAGTAACCGGATCAGAGTAACATTAAGTACAGTCCGCGGCACTGTGAGTGCAGACGTCGATGTGTCCCATTATCATTCATATCATATCACATCATAATGTATCATATATTTCCTTATTTGAGTCAGCTTCTTGAGCCGTATCTGGCCGTGCAACACTCACAGTGTCACATACTGTATGCAGAAGTATTATTTTAAGCAACACATTAAGTTGACGAAACACTCGAGTCAAATTCTCCTAATTAAAGTCAGATCCACTCGTGTCTTGGACGGGGCAGTGATTTCATAAACCTGTTAATGTACGCATTCAAACACTTTTTCTTTTACCAGCTGTATTCCCCTTGCAGGTGCAGCTATGTGGCTTTTATCCTGGATAAAGTGTTTAAGTCATGGATGTTTAAAGTTTAACTTCTTCATATTTGACTAATATTAAAGTTCACTTTTCATTCAGGAAGTATGACGCTGCGCTGTCAGTACGCTTGTCCGTGTTTGAGATTGGTCGAATGCTCCAAATACCACCCCTTTCATGTGAACGTGCACCTAACTAGATAGGACACGGCTGGCTTGAGCGATCCACTTGATAACCAGCGTCGTAGTACAGTTTAGCCAGAGCGCGTATGTTTTGGATTGGGCCAACCGGCTAACTCAAACATATCCAGGTTAGGTTGAACCAGCTTCGTAGGACAGGCCTAAGGAGGAAAACATTTCAAAACAAAAGGTGGAAAATGAAAACATAAATAGAAACCGTAACAGATATCTTGAATAAATAAATACACATTTTGAAAATATGACTTTGTTTCAATTTTCCTTTTACTCAAAGTATTATTTATGTGTATTCATAATATAACATGCTGATATCAAGCTCCAGATTATTTCCCGTAAAACACAGCGTAATTATTCCCAATTATATTAATATTAAGTCACAAAAAGAGGCGGAAAAGGTACTCAGATCTTGTACTTAGAAGTACCAGAGTGTAGCAATACACTGTTACAAGTAAAAGTCCTGCAATCAAAATGTTACTCAAGTAAAAGTAGAAAGGTATTGGCATCAGAATATCCTTAAAGTATGCATTATGAAGATTGGCCCCTTTTCAGAATAATATATAATATATGTTTTGAGTATAACTATTCATGCATTAATGTGTTTATCAAAGCTGGTAAAGGTGCAGCTAGTTTTTAATGACTTTGTTTAGTGCAGGTAGCTTGTGAATATTACTCCAATGTCACTAAAGTCTGTATTTCACATCATTAATCCAAAATCTGCTAAGTAACTAAAGGTATTCAATAAATGTAGTGGAGTAAAAGTACACGATTTACCTATGATTTGTAGTGGAATAAAGTAGCAACATAATTAAATACTTGAATAATGTACAAGTACCTCAAATTGTACTTAAGTACAGTACTTGAGTAAATCTACTTAATTAAAAACCACTAAGTGTATTTAATATCTAGTATGAATGTGGAGTCGCTAGGTCACATGACAAAGCTATTGAAAACATTTAATTATTAGCATACTTTTCACTAATAGGCTTAGGCAAATTAGCAAGGTATGGAAGATAACATCGTTGAAAACCCTGTCAAACTAAGTTAAGAGAGAAGACGTCATGGATCCGGATCAAGCCCCCAGGAAGTGCGCCGGACTCTGAGGAAAATATTCGTTGTGGCCAAACGGCAGTACTACACTTCCGTATCAGTCGCTGGGCCCGGAAATACTTTTTCCCATTGACTAACATTGGGAAAGAGACATCTGTAAATCGTTGGATAATTTTTTGTAAACTAAATAAACTACCCAGCAGTGGCGTCGCCTGGCCTGGGCAATGTTTTTTTCTGTAGCCCCGGACAATTCTCCCTCAATATAATACATTAACCGTGCTTTACGTGAACCTCATCATGACACAAGAGAGGACGGCAGGACTGTAATTTCCCGTGTTCAGTGAATGCAACAGAGGCATGACACCAGACCAATCAGAGAGTTGCATGGAAATAAACGTGTGCTTGTGTCATTCAAGCTCGGCTCTGTGTGTGTGCGGCAATAGCGCATTTAGTGTGATAGAGAGAGAGAGAGGAAGAGAGAGAGAAAGGGACCGGTGCCAGCAGGGACCGTGTTGTTAGCATCTGGTTAGCTAGCTGATAAACGGACATAAGGAGCTGTTTGTTCCACAACAAGCTGGAGGAGAGTCCTCTGCTGACAGACTGAGAGACTCAGGTGAGCTAAAGGACTCTCTGAGTGTTTAGATAGTTTACTTTAGTCTAAGTTATCTCAGTGGGTCTCAAACGGTTTGGTCACAAATGATTCAAAAGATTATTTCCGCGGCACACGTTTATATGATCATTATAGTTATAAAAAAAATAAAGAGAATAAAGGAAAAACAGTTATGAAATACTATATGACAGTAAAACAAGAATAGAGTTTAAAAGGGGAGTGATTTGTAAAATATCCTTAAAGAAAAAGTAAATCTGTTTACAGTTCTGTTTCAAATGGGTGTTGAGAGATGTATCCATAGATCTCTTAATGTTGCTCTCAAAGTGCACCAGATTGATGCTTTTAACTTCAATATTTAAAAAAAAATCTTCCCGGGGGAGCATCCCCCCCGGACCCCCCTAGAGCAGGTTAGGTCCCCCCCCACTCATAAAAAAATAGCACTTTACCCCTGCCTATATGCCGTGAGCTGATTATCGAGCCTTCATTGTAACAGTCGCGGGTATACTGTGTGTGTGCGTGTGGGGAGTGTTGCAGTAGAATATTCGCCGCCACTGTGGGCTAAGCCCCGAATGTTTTCAGGTCCAGGCGACGCCCCTGCTACCCAGTATGAACATTTGTATAGCCCTTATTAAAAACATTTGGTCCTCAAGTTGTAAAATGTGCTAATAACGTTATTCTGAGAGTTATTTTCCTCGGCATTATGAACGCGGATCTAACCCACGGGAGCGCGCCGCCCTGCACGTTCAAGTGACGTGTTCAGTACTACATGAGTTTTACCTTTACCCATGGATGCACAATAAGAACGGATTATATGCTTATATGAATACTTTTGCTCTCTCAAAAAGTTGGGCCATTTTGTCTTCATGCGCCAATGAGCAACTCTCATTGGAATGAACGAGGCCCCGCCTCCCACGCTGTATCCAGTTCTTATTATACATCCATGATCCGGATATACAACCTGAAACTAACTTCATCTGTACCTGTGGTGAAAACTTGACAATCAGGGACTTTTTCTTAGCAGTGAAGCTTGCGAGTCATAATAGAGCAACATTGTGTTTCTTTTAGTTAAATGTCGTTTCTGACAATCCATTTTTTTGGTTACACATTTTCTTTTTGTAAATTAACTGCTTTTAACCAATTTTCACAGTGGCTAAACAGTGGAATTACAACTTCCGGGTCCGTCACGTGACGCCATTGGCCCAATTTGTATGTTTGAAAAGAGAGGATAGTGAATCTGTTTATCAGGTAAACTTCCCAGTTTAAACGCTCAGCATACAAGAAAGTGCATACTGAGTATATCCCAAGACAAAAAATGTAGCAATGAAAATGTCCTGGCTGTGGAATGGATAAAGTATCTCTGATTCTGATGTCAAATGCAGTATGCCAAATACACCTGGATGTCTTTCTGCCTCCGGTTGCGATTGAAGTTTACAGGTCAACATGCTTGTCTGTAGTAGAATGTCCATATTGTATACACTCTGCATGCAACAGTTAACAATGTGTAAAGGCAGCTACAATACCTTTTGAAAATAAACAAAAAACGATGTCATTCCGAAAGCATCACGACATCACCTGCATACCCTCAAGTATCTATGTTTAAAGACACTCACCCAGCGGTGGCTGCAGCATGTCTCCGGTCCTCTCACAGGTTCCTATTGGCTGGATGTCTAACGAATCAACCAGTCTCCAGAAGTCGTTGGTGTTGTCACTTCCATCCAGACGCAGGCGTAGGCGAGTGCCCATCATGCCCATTACCGTTGCTATGCACACAGAGTTAGAGTTGCGAGGGTCCCGTGCCTCAAGCTTCATTCCCGCTTTAAAGTCATTAGAGGGGGGGATTCTGGACTGCAGAGGGACACAAGGACCTTCAGTCACTATCATGTTTTGTGAGGACACATATTTCTTGATTACACATCTAATTATACTCCAATTAATAAATTGTGATTTATTTGAAAAACACAGTAAACACAGTCTACGTTGTAATATTGTGCATACTGCGACTTCATATGTATTTACAGTAAATAGAGAATAAAGCTGCCGATATTTATCGTCTAATGTAGCCTACTCAGCCAATTTCTTCCTACTGAAAAAAATTAATGTAAATCTTAAAAAATGTGTCACAAAAACTAAATTGTTTTCCTTTAAAAGCTGGTGCAGTAGCAGTATTAAATAAACTCTTTGATTTGGACTGTTTTCAGCCAGCAGCGGTTTATTTTACCGCTCATGTTCATCGTAATAAAGAAACTTATCACTCACTACAACAAGGGGATGTGTTTTTAATCTTTTTTTTGGAAAAGAATGGAGCTCTATGGCACGGAAAAATACTCAGTATTCCACAGACAATTGTTAGGTTTTATTTTGGTTTTATTTTGCTCTTGGTCTTTGTTAACAGTGAGATGAATAGAGAATATACCTCAAACAACACATTATAACCAAACAACCCTAATTTAAAAACTAAAAAATGGCATGCTTTTCCTGAGTTATAGCAGACTGTATTTAACAATTTTTAAGATACAAACATTTAAAGAAAACAACAAGGGGTATGCATAACATTGGACCCTTTAAATGCAATGATAATAAGAAAGCAGCTAACCTGTTTGAAGCAAGTCGGTGACGCTGCAGTCGAGGACGTTTCTCTCAGATAGTCTTCCCATCTGAATGATTCTAGCATAAAAAACAAACGGATGATTATTATAAGATCAGAAACTGCTTTACTTGTTCAAGTATGAGTACACATACAAAAAATATCATTGAGTTTTTTGGGTTGCTCTGTGTATTGCTCACATACACAGAAATAGACAGGTAAAACGAGGTTAAACATTTACCTAAGATATAAGTATTTATGTGCTCTAGGTGAAAAACAACATAATAAGATTATTAAAAGAGTTGGTGCAGAGTGCATCCTGAAAAAATGAATTTTAATATAACAGTAATATAATAGAGTTTTTTATAAAATCGAACATATTGTTTCTTTTTTTTTCAATAGCTTCCATGCAATGTGACCAATCAACTTCAAATCTGACCCAATGTTTGTATTACTAAGGACACATGCTATAAAAAACACATAATATTGAACTACACTTAGCATTATTCAACTGATAGTTTGGAAGTAATGAGTTGCAGTTAGAGAGCAAAACAACGATAGTTACGGCTGTAACTACGGTTCTATGAGTCCCGGATGACTGCCAGTGGCGGTGCTTTAGCACTGGATATGTCCATCGCATGCATGCGCAGTTCGAGTACCAATAACAACAAAGTCACCTGTGACCCACGTGACACCGGCTACATAGGCCGGCGTCATCAGAGGATCTGTTCCCAGAATCTTCTCGCGAGCACACAAGAATTCTGAGTGACAGGATACTCTGGCGGTCATCCGGGACTCATAGAACCGTAGTTACAGCCGTAACTATCGTTCTATTTCATCCCTACTGACCGCCAGAGGTGGTGCTTTAGCACTGGATGACTTATACCAACCATGTCACGAATAATCCAAGCCCTTGCTCACTACTGGAAGCAGCGGACCACGCCCAAAGAATGGGGAGTGGCGGCATTAACCCGATAAAAACTGGAGAATGTGCCAGAAGACGCCCATGACGCCGCAGCGCAGATGGTCTCCAGGGGCACCACTCTCAGTGCAGCCCAATATGTTGAGATGCTCCTTGTAGAGTGGCATCTCAGCCCTGATGGCAGGGGGGCGGCCACTGGCCCCATAGGCATGTGAGATGGTATCGACAACCCAGTGGGGCAGCCGCTGGTTAGAGGGCACAACCTCCTTTAGTGCCGCCATGGCAAACGAAGAGCTGCTCCGACTGCCGGCTACAGGCAGTAGCCTCGATATACGCCCTTTGGGCACCCACAGGGCGCAGCAACTTCGACGTGCCGTTCTCCTGAATGTCAAAGCGTAACAGCTGGGCAGGCTGATTGAAGTGGGTTTGTGGAAGCACCTTGGGCAGGAATGCCACATTTGCCCAAAGGGCAACACCTGAGAGTCCCACCTCGGGCATGTATCGCTTACGGAGAGGACATGCAACTCCCCAACTCGCTTCCCTGAGGCTATGGCAAGCAGAAATGCTGCCTTCGTGGGCAGCCACCTAAGCCCCACCTGAGCCAGGGGCTCGAAGGGAGGAGATGATAGGGCATCCGGCAGCAGGGGCAGGTCCCAAGCCGGAGCCCTCGGGGTGCTAGGGGGACGCTGCCGTAAAGCCCCTCTCAGGAAGAGGGACACCGACCTGTGGCACCCCGCCATGGCGCAGTCGACACGAACATGTCGGGCAGAAATAGCAGCCACATAAACTCTCAGAGTGGAGTGAGAACGTCCACTATCTAGGAGGGACTGCTGTCTGGGCAAAAGTGTACATGCTGTCCCAAGGAACAAGCACATGCTTGCCCCCCAGTTGGGGTAGAAAGTGCGTGAGTGCAAGCTGCACAGCCCGAAGCTCTAGCACGTTGACATGGCGTGCACCCTCCTGGGCAGACCACTGACCCTGAACAGTCCTGCCCTGCCGCACTGCACCCCACCCTGAGAGACATGCACCTACGGTGACGGTCTCCTGGCGGGATGGGATGACGCCCATGGGCACGCCCATCAGGAGATAGGCCCTGCCCCTCCAGCGTGACAGAGAGTGGAGGCAACACTACGACACCCTGACTTTCCTGTGCCTGTGCCACTTGGCGTCCAAGTGAAGGCTGTTCAGCCACATCTGCATGGGGCGCAACGACAGCGGGCCTAAGGGCCCAACGGCCGAGGCAGCCGTCAGTCTGCCCAAGGGCCGGAGGAACTGAATATAAGGCACCATCTTGCCCGGCCAACGTGGAAGTAGGCATCCCTCAAGTCCACGGTTGCGAACCACTCCCCCTGTGCTGTACTGTGGTCAGCATATGGAATGGCAGCACCTTCAGGAATCTGTTGATTCCTCTGAGGTCCAAGATCAGGTGAAATCCGCCGACTTTCTTGCTCACGAGAAAGTACGCCGAGTAGAACCCCCTGGGCTGAGCAGAGGGTCTACTGGCTCGATTGCGTCCTTGGCCAAGAGGACGGACAACTCTTGGGCCAGAGCTAGGGCCTCTGCCGGATTGCTGACGACTGTCATTTTGGCCCGGCCGAAGGCTAGGGGCCGGAACTGCGGTTCGTACCCCTGGGTTAAGGTGAAAACCACCCAAGGGCCGGAAGTACAGACAGCCCAGTAACTGAGCTGCTGCTGGGAAAGCAGCCGACGACCGGCCCAGAGAGTCTCGGGGCCTGTCATCGGCTGCCTGGTCCGCCTAGCTTAGGCAGCACGCTCCAGTGCCTACAGGGCAGCTGCCCCAAACAGCTACCCTGGCTCGACTGGCACACTACGGAGGACATGTCTCAGACAGTGGTGACTGAGCAGGCCAAACCTGGCGACGAGTCTGCACCAATAAGGACATAACTCGTCCCAATTCCCTAGACATTAGGGCAAAGGCTTACAGTGATGCATCACTGAGGCCCAGCAAAGAAGGCTCAGCCGGAGCCTGCTGCAGAGAGGTAGAGACAGCCAGCATCAGATGGGAGAGGGAGTTCCTGTTACGACCCGTGCGTGCCGCTGTGTCGTAGGCCTTACATAGCAGCTCGTCTGTGACCCTGCACTGAGACCGAGGGCACCTGGCATCAGGAGCCAGAATCGGGGAGGCGATGGCAGGCTCAATGGATGGCAAGCGACCCAGCCCCACCCTCGCCGGATCCTGCATGGCAGCAGAGTGGGAGAGGGCCCTGGTGTCTCTCCAGCATGCATGGAGCTCCCTCAGGTACTCCTCTGAAGGAGGAACAGTGGGAGTGACAGGGGCAGGGTTATGCCTGAAGAAGGCGCTAGCCTGAGCCGAGTCGGCCTGCGGAACCTGAAGCTGCAAGCGTACCAGGGCCGCACGAATAATGGCCGCCATGGAGGCGTCCTCCGTGCCCTGCAGAGAGCTCTGAGCAGAGGAGTGGGAAGCCTCCTCGGGGGTGAGCGGGTCCCCGTCCATAGAAGAGGTTTAGCCGAAGCCGCTAGCGACATGGCATCCTCAAGCAGAGGTGTGGCAACCGAAGGAGGGCCAGGCGGCAAGCTAGTAGCCCCCACACCGGCCCCTGGCTGAAGGGCCAACAGGAGCAACTTCGTCTGCTCCATGACGGCAGCTAACCGATCCACCTTAGAGGACAGCCTGTTTCTAGTCAACCCATAGCCATCACTCCATCATGTCGCCGGGAACGGCCAGACTGAGCTGGAGGAAGTTGTGACGAGGAGAGGTGCCATCTCTGAGCGCCCGAGGCATGAAGCTACAGCTCATGCAGGCGCTTTGCGTCAGACCCTCCCTCAAATGCTCGAGGCCAAGGCAGAGGGGGTCAGCGGTCATGGCCGTCCTCAGGCTCAAGAGCAGCCATCCAGGCGCTACATGAATGAGCCATTCTGTAGGTAGCCGGATGCAGTGTAGCCGGGAGCGGGTGCGAGAACACAGCCTTCCCCAGCTACCTGCTGAACGGAAAGAGTAGAGCAATGATCCTACTTGCCGAACACAAAGACGGATGTAACTACACCCACGTTACCGGCAGAGGGAGCGAGAGCACTGCCTTCACTAGAGATGTCCCGATCCGATCACGTTATCGGGGATCGGAGCCGATCACGTGATTTTCAAAAGATCGGAATTGGGAGAAAAAAATCGGGGATCTGGATTTTTTTTTTTTTTTTTTTTTTATAAATATAAAATATTTTTATAATTTTATTTAATGTTACAAAACAAAAATGACCATGTTCACGTCTTAAAGTCATCCTGAGGCCTTAGTTTTGGTTTAAAATTACACAACATCATGTATGTGTTGCTTCTTTTGGGCTTGTTTTCATAGACCTGGTTGCTTATTTCTCTCAAATCTGGCAACAGAGTGGGCAGGGCGCAGTGTCTAATAGTAGCAGTAAGCTAACAAGAGGCTACGTTCAGCTGGTGCCTCGGGAGTCGGGACAGAGAAAATGTCAGGAGTTTGGAAGTATTATAAAATTGAAAGCGAAGGCAGTGTAACAGCCAGATGCAATGTTTGCAAGGCGGAGGTTCCGCGTGGTGGAAAGAACAGAGCTACGTTCAACGCGACCAATCTAATAAACACCAACAACAACACGACGAGTACACAGCGGCCACTCAGGTAACGGCACTGAAACAACCGACACTTTCAGAGACTTTTAAAAGGAAAGAGAAACTGCCCCAGAACGGTGAAAAGGCCAAAAAAATAACAGCCAAGATAGCTGAATTCATCGCGTTGGATGACCAGCCGTTATCGGTTACCTTTTTTTTCTCTTAATGCATAAAGATCGGATCGGGAAAAATCGGTATCGGCAGATTGTCAAAATCAAATGATCGGAATCGGATCGGGAGCAAAAAAAGGTGATCGGGACATCCCTAGCCTTCACCTAGCTGGATTAAATAAAGAAGTTTAACAGGACAGCCGGGCGGCTACTGCTAGAATCAAGCAACACCTCTACCAGGAGCGGGGGCGAGAACACTGCCTTCACTGGTTGAGTTCATAACGGATGCCAGGTGCAGCGTACCCGGGAGCGGGTGTGAGAACACAGCCTTCACCAGCTACCTGCTGAACGGAAAGAGTAGAGCAATGCTCCTACTCGCCGAACACAGAGAGGGATGTGAATGTCCTACACCCACGTTACTAGCAGAGGGAGCGAGAGCGAGAGCGAGAGCACTGCCTTCACCTAGCTGGATTAAATAAAGAAGCTTAACGGGGCAGTTTAGCCAGACGGCTGCAGCTAAGAATCAAGCAGCACGTCTACCAGGAGTGGGGGCAAAAAACCCTGCCTTCACTGAATGAGTTAAACAATGAAGCTCAACAGAACACGCCAGATGTTAGCCAAGCGGCCACTGATAACAATCAGAGCAATACATTACAGGGCCCGAGGGCGAGAGCACTGCCTTCACCAGCTGAGTTTAAATAAAGAAGCTTTAACAAAACATGCAAGATGTTAGCCAAGCGGCTGCTGCTAACAATCAAAACAATACGTTACCTGGGGCCTCATTTATAACGCCTTGCGTAGGATTGACGTGAGAAGGTTGCTTACATAGTACAAAGCAAAAAAATAGGTACATAAATGTTCCGACATTTTCCGATTCACAAAACATTGCGTACCGGCGAGGGAAGTGCGTACCGGCACTTCCTACGCCTGTTTCCCTTTATAAATCACAATCGACTCGAAATGCGGCGCAGCTTTTACAGGCTTCACGTAACGCCCATATTTGCCTATAAATAGTCAAAGAAACGCCCATTCATTCATTCATTTTTGACTGACTGCATGAAGAAGATTGCAGGAAATTACGACCGAACAGCTAAAAAAAGACATCTCGCACCGTGTCAGATTGTGGTTATTTTGGGGAAGTCGAGATAAATCATATTGTTTGGTGGATGCAGTTGAACCAGAGTAGCAGCATGGAGGTCGGATCGTCACCAAAATAAATAAATAAGTGGTCCGAAAAAAGTTAATGACAAAAAAAATACACATAACCTTCCTCAGGCAGTGTGTTTGTCCCGGGGACAGGAGACACCCCCTTGATGAGAAACTGTAAGAAATGATCGGGGAATCCCTCCGGAGTGGAGTCATGACGACTGGATCTGAATTATTTTGTTGTATTTGGTGGTTTGTGTTCCAGCTGTCGATCAGCAACTATATATCCATAATCCACCAGTTAAAGGAAATACAACTAATGTGTTGTGTTATATTAGCTGTACAATTTACCACATATGGTGTGCTTAGTTTCCATACCTCCTGTGTTTTACGAGCGACTTATCAAGTCTTGGCAAACGGCATAAAACACGATTAAACGTGATAGTATATAAAACCATGCTCGTATCTACAACCTATAGAAATGCAAAACGGCGTCAGTTTAGACGTAATTCTGTCCTCCTGCTTACCGCATCATTTATGAGAAAACATTTCATAACATGAACACAACATATTCGAGGTGGTTTTAAATAACATATCCGTATTTATTTATTTCTCCAAGTTATGTTTTTGTGTGCACTGAGGAGTCTCAAACAGGCGTTTGTTTAATCATTTTAAGATTGGCTTTAATCAATGTTTGAAAATGAATTATTCATATATGATAAATGAGAGGTAACATTTGATTTATTTCCACATATTTCTCTCCATTCTTCCTTCTGCCAACGGTGTCGCAGTTTCTCGTCTCTCCCGTTGTTGTGCTTAGTGCGTACGCATGGGTTAGAGTTTGCGTGGAGGACTGCACATTTTCCCGTCAACTTAGTATTTTATAAATCGCAAACATTGCGTAGAAACTGGCGTACGCCATTTTTTGAGCGTATATCCCTTTATAAATGAGGCCCCTGGAGCGGGAGCGAGAGCACTGCCTTCACCAGCTGAGTTAAATAATTAAGCTTAACAGTACATGCAAGGCATTAGCCAAGCGGCTGCTGCTAACAATCAAGCGAGATCAAGTCAAATAACACAAATGTTTAAGACCAGATAACTAGCTTCTAAAGAAGAGAACAGCACAGTGCCGTAGTTACAGTAGTAACCATGGCCAGTACTTACACGGCTTAGAACCGTAGTTACAGTAGTAACTATGGCCAGTACTTACACGGCTTAGAACCGTAGTTACAGTAGTAACTATGGCCAGTACTTACACGGCATAGAACCGTAGCTACAGTAGTAACTATGGCCAGTACTTACACGGCTTAGAACCGTAGTTACAGTAGTAACTATGGCCAGTACTTACACGGCTTTGAACCGTAGTTACAGTAGTAACTATGGCCAGTACTTACACAGCATAGAACCGTAGTTACAGTAGTAACTATGGCCAGTACTTACACGGCTTAGAACCGTAGTTACAGTAGTAACTGTAGTGATGCAGCTAAAGCTGGGAACTCAAAATGCTAATGATAGCTCGGGCACAACGCCACAAGCAGAACTTTCCAAAGAGCATAATAAGGGCAACTTTATGGGAGAGGAAGCGGGAACACTGTCGTCACCAGAAAGTCTAAGCCAAACAATAAACAAGACAGCAATCAGGACAACTTAGCTGGGAGAGGGTGCGGGGACACAACCATCACCAACAACAAGTTGACACAAACCTGTCCGTTGCATGGGAGCCTGCCTGCAGGCGCCAGTCTCAGGACACCTCCACTCTGAAGACACCTCCACTCTCAGGACAGGAAGTGCATGCACGCTAAAATAAAATCGCCACTATCAGTACAGCGCCACTTTCCGAACAGGAATTGCACGCAAATACAAAATAAAATCGTACTGACACTTATTATATACATATGTATATGTATATGTATATGTATATGTATATATATATATATATATATATATATATATATATATATATATATATATATATATATATATATATATATATATATATATATATATATATATATATATATATATATATATATGTATATAAAAATAGGGACACCTTGTATTGTTTACTCTCAGTACAGCACCACTTTCCGAACAGGAAATGCACGCTAATACAAAATAAAATCGCACTGACACTTATTATATCTATATATATATACATCTATATATATTTATATATATAAATAACGACATCTTGTATTTTAGTTACACCCGCTAGACAGGTGGCGGCGGAGGTGGGGAGGTTCCAGCCGGGAACCTCCACCTCGCTGCGGGACCCGTGGTGGGACCCCTGAGTCAGACGGTGCGTCTTGGTCACGCTTCATATCGGCCGGCCCGGGAAGGAAGAGGCACGCAGAGTGGGGGAAGTCCCCCACCCCAACGCAGCACACCCTCCCGGCCATCAGAGTCGAACCCGCAGTTCGGAGGAACCGACCGCCAGAGCACCGGCACTAGGCCGGGCCGGTGGAGGCCCTCCGATGGTGGGTCGCGTTTGCCATTCGATCAGTGAGAGGAGAGGAGAAATATGCAACAAAAATGGTCAAATCTGTTAATATATGGATGAGTGGGGGGGGGGGGGGGGGGGGGGGGGGGGGGGGGGGGGGGGGGGGGGGGGGGGGGCTGGACACAGGCCGTGGGGGGAGACCGGGCAGTGTCCCCGGTAGAAGGAACCGGGTGAAATAGCCAAAAAAAGAAAAATGTATATAGGCACTTGTGAGGCGGGCAGAGTCCCCTGTCAACTCCCGTTACATTCCTCCATGGTGTCATTTGAGCGAAAAATGGCTAAGTCAACTTTTACGAGAACCAGGCTTGGGGTGTCAAAAGGGCTTGACCAAGGCCGACCCAAAGTGCATGGTGAGCGGACTCATCACCTCCGTGATGAGTCTCCATTGTGATTTGAAAACTTCCATCAGACGAGTCCTTCGGGGAGCGGGGAAAAAAACGTGTTCGTCAGAATCGTCACTTCCTGTACTGAGAGTGGAGGTGTCCTGACAGTGGAGCCTACACCGGAACTGTCCTGAGAGTGGAGGCCTGCAGGCAGACCCCTCTCGTCCGTCGAGGCTCTGCACAGCGCACAGCCGGCCACAGCTCCTGGAGGACGCGTTAACAACCCGTAGCTCCGACTGTCAGTCGCGAAGCTGCACGCGGCCAGCTGTATGCAGAGAAATCCCTCAGATCAAACGTTCAAACCGGTACTCTCGCGCAGCGAGAAGATGAAAAGGAACAGATCCTCTGATGACGCCGGCCTATGTAGCCGGTGTCACGTGGGTCACAGGTGACTTTGTTGTTATTGGTACTCGAACTCTGCATGCGTGCGATGGACATATCCAGTGCTAAAGCACCGCCTCTGGTGGTCAGTAGGGAAGAAATAGAACCATGTTTACTTGTTTATACCTTAGTTGCTAAATCTGCACCAGCCAGGAAGCTGAAGAGAAATACTCAAACAAAACTTGTTTGAAAATGTTTGGGAAAATCTGGGAAAACTGGAAAAACCTTCTTAAAATAGAGTTTAACATATAGATTAAAATATCTTATTTACCCACACCAGAAATGTACTGATAAAAGATAATAAACATAGGTTAGTGCTCGTATTGGAACCGAAGTGGCTGGATTACAAAAGCTATTATCTGAAAGTTTTAGAGGGTTAATGAAAGGATTAACTATGAACAGAAAGAAGCCAGAGATCAGAGTTGCCAACCATTAGATTTGTCGAGGGGAGATCCTGCTGTGATGCTGCTGCGTCTCTCTTTCTCCTCTTTCTGATCTGAAATCAAAAGATGATTGAACTGCTCATCAGAATGTGGGAGCTGCTGACATACAGACTGTAATTACTGTGAGAATGAAGGCATAAAACCTGCTATGGGAATAGTTCTGAGAATGATGTGGTTGGAAAGCGTTAGTGACAGAGTTCCCGTTAGCCGGTAATTACCGGACAATGACCGGTAAAATATGCTGAAGTCCGGCAAATCTAAATCTCTCCGGTCAAAATGTCCGGTCAAAATAATTTTCCCTTAGCGCAATACCGCATCAGTTGCGCCACTTATGTGACAGACAAGAATAGTATGTGACAGACAAAAGAGTATGTGACAGACAAAAATTGTCAATTCTAATGTCTAACACTTAATGTGGAGAAAGAGATGTCCTGTATGGGTTGATTGTGCGTTGATCTGTTGGTAATGCCTCGGGGTTCCGGTGGGCATGTAAACAAATGCATAATGCTGCGCTATACTTTGTGGCCTCATCCGGTTGCATAGCGACGCTTATTGTTTAGGTGTCTTTTAACAAGCAGGTAGTCATATCATTAGCTAGAACTAGCTAGATCTGATCGATATGGACATAAATGCGAGTAAAGTCTAATCTGACAGGAGAGAGAGATCGGCTGCTGCTGACGAGTCGACACGCAGCTCTGCATGATCCCCTGCAGCGGCGAGCAGAGCAAAACACACTTCAGGTTAGAAAATCACACGTAGCTATTTTAATTACCTCTCAAACTACCTAAACTAGTTATAGATATGTTTAGTTTTACTGTCGGGTCACTCATTACTGGATCCGCGAGCTGCATGATACTGACGGGCTGTCAGGAGAAGGAGAGAGCGCTCCGTTTATTATTCCCGCGTTTTTGTAAATTACTGTACACTTTTGAATAATGTAGTTAATCTACTATAATTAGTTTGTTTAATGTCGAATCATATCAATTTGTTTTAAAGCTCAATAAATAACAAAGAAGACCTTTAACCGGCACTTATCTAATTTTGTCCGGAAGATTTCAACTTTAACGGACATGTTGACCGGCAAAAAAATATTCTAACGGGAACTCTGGTTAGTGAGTATTTTTGATCCTTCTGTGTTTATTTTATGATCAAACTGGTGTTGAAGTCTAGTACATTTGTTCAGTCAGCACTGTGAAGGCCTACCTCTGTGTGGCGTTCGGCCCATGATGACCAGTTAAACGTGCCGCTGCAGGGGAGCTGAAGTCAGACAGGCTGCTACCTGCACAGACACAGAACAGGAGGGAAGGGTTTCATGTGATATTGAACAGCATTTCAAGTAAAAAGATGACAGTATGTTTAGATATATTGTTTAAATAGTAAATACACATCTTTGATTCACATCCGCATCAACATTAACAGATTTGAAACTAATGTGCAACAATCCTTTCCCTTTGCACTGACTTTGCATCGGATCCTATGTGTATGTTGGGTGAAAAAGTACCTAATGTTCTAAAATACATTTCTGATTTGCCTCTCTGGTAAAACTAAACATGGACAAGTGTTTATGCACCATGACACAAACTTCAGGGAAACCTTTAGTTGTTTTTTTCAATTAAGGCTTCAGTCTTTTATGTTTGCCCCTTAATGTACCTTTGACACATTGGAGACAAATAAAGGCATAAAGGTCATGGTAAACAAGTTGGTTTGAGGAACAGAAAAACTAAATAATGTCATAATCAAATTGGATTAAAACAGATAATATTTGAGTCTCTAAGGATGCATTACATTCCAATAACAACATTTAATCCTATTCATTTTGCCGAACAAATAATTATGACACTGCATAAACCCTACCAACAACATGTTCACTCATGTCGATTTGAAATGTGTCAAAGGTCTCTGCGTTTCAAGTTTTGCTTCAGGACTAACCTTTACTCCTGATGCAGGTTACATAATATTAATAAAATAAAATAGTTACCACACGATCAATGCTGAAAATTTGGCCCAAACATGTAGGTTCACAAAAACTCTGAACATACTCCCACTCCCTGGAAATGCTGTACATAGTGATAGCTGAAGAATGAAAATAATCCACGGTATTAAAGCATCAAAAAATGTTGTGATACACTGTAATCCAGAAATGCAGAGGTTACATTCGCTCCAGAAGCCAGAAAATGTCTCCTTTTCCTGGTTTAAAAATGTCAGCATCTGCAATGCATTGTGTCTGTCCCTCCCTCTGAAGACCCTTCTGTCTCTGCAGCGAATCCCATTGAGCCAGAAGGAGCCATAAAGATTCCAAGCTGCCATAAAAAGCCATTAAGACGTGTGGATGCGGGACGTCTGCGGAGCGACATGAAAAGGATTCCAACTCTGCTCTTCACTCAGCTGCAGCCTGCTTCAGTATTTGCTCTGCTCTGCCTCTCTTGCTCAAGAGTCTGACACAAAACACCCATCAGACCAGGAAGCACTTCATTTTACAACCCCCATTTGCACTAAGGCATCCACTTATCTAGGATTAGAGTAATGTTCACGAACCTGAACAGTGAGAAGATCTGAAAAATTACCCTGAGATCTGGTTTCAGGAGGGGTCATAACTTTTCCTTGACATGAGGAGCTGTCACAGTGTGACTTATGGTGGTTTTTCTCATGTGATAAAAGAAATGCACAAATCGTTATACTCAAAACTTTACACTCAAGATGTTTTGTTCTTATGATAGTTAATTTAAAACAAAAGAAATTCAGACATGTGAGAGGTTTCAGAGAAATGTACAAGTTGGCCTGGTGTATCACCCACAATTGAATTTAAGTGGAAGTAGTTGGAAGTTCAAAGCCCAAATACATTCCCACAAGACAAAGAAAAGCAGTCAATCTATGGAAGAAAAAATCACTTGATTTAACAATTAAAGGTTTGGCTATCCACTAGTTATATATATATATTTATATTTAATTTAATTGTTAAATCAAGTGATATATATATATATAAAAGTACTATTTAAAGATAATAATTAATCATAAAAGTGCCACATACTGTAATTGCTGGTTCTAGCCTCTATTTGTTTTCTGCATTTGTTTATTTTAGGTAACAATAAACGTCATGTTTTTGGTAACGTGTTATAATAAAAAAAATTATAATTGAGAAAAGCTTTGCAGAAACTATAGGTGATATTTGACATTCTTGCTTTAACACAATTACTTGACTAAATTATTCTATTAACTTAATAAAGCTGATTGATTAACCAATACAAAGTCAAAGTACGTATATTTACCCTGTAGCACATCCTTCTGTGGTGCTAGAAGGGACAAAAGCCTGTGACTTTATTTGTATTTATTTGTTGACAACAAGACCAACCGCCAGACTAAGCATGTTGGCCTGGTGTTTCTGTCAGGCGGCTCAGTGTGGGGAGGATCACATTACCGCCGGGAGGCGTGTGACCCGCTGCATGCCGTCACCTCCAGGGAGGTAACTTAAAACATGGTTTCATATCCAAAAAAACTTTCATTTCAGAATGTTTTTCATAAAAACAGTTTTCCTGATACCAACATTTAGGTCCCATCTCTGTGACTTAAGATTGAACGTGTGGTTGATGAAAAGCACACATCTTTTTCATTTGCATGATGCAGGTTCGGAGGGGAAACACTGAATCAGCAGAAGAAGAAATTAGATTTGAAGAAACGCATGTGACGCATTTTCTTTTGCGTTATGGTCCCAGTTTGTGGGCGGGACAGTGGTCATTATACAGGGCTAAACCATACAGTCTATGGGCTAAACACCGCTAACGTTTCGTTACAAAACGGAGCGTGATAGGAACATTATAAGGCTGGAAGATCGTAAACGTGTTTTGGGTTGAAGTGTAACCCTCTTCAGGAATCCAGTAAACAAAAAGCAAAAGGGGAATCTGCAGAGTTCAACGTAGCTCCTGAACGCAGCGAGCTGTCCGCCTGAACAGAAAACAGTAGGCTACACGCTGTCTTAGTCAGTGCAGGGACAAACAGCAGCTAACATGACCGCTTATCCCTTCAAACCCGTCACTGGCAGCACATCAGAGTAATAATGAGACAGCAGCCGTACCAACCTTTTTGGATTTTGATGGGAGATTCCTCACTTTCTATCAGATGCAAGCCGCCATATCCGCTGCAGCTCCGCGCATGTCCACCACGCAGTGCTGTAATTCATATTTTCCACTGGATGTTTTAAAAAAAAAAAAAAAGGAAAAAAAAAAGAAACAGACAATTAGTCGTTTTATTGAAACAGATATTGTTTAATGTTTGCTTGTTATAATAAACTGCATGTCGTTTGGAAACGAAAACATTAACATTTATTGGGGTTTTCTCTGTTTTAATGCAGGAGAGGGTGGTGAAAATGCCACAGGTTAATATAACTGCAGACACCGGAAGGTCAGACCTGAGGGAGTGACTGCTAAATAAGAAAAAAACACTGAATGAAAATGAGAAAAAAAATACATATTTTCCAAACCACATTAGTACATTAAGTGTTTGTAATAACAATATGAACTAGCCTAGCCCAATAAAAGGACATTGAATGATTATTAAAGTTGAAATAACCTACATCCTTTTTTACATCCTTTTAACACAACAGAGTAAAAAGAATAACACTTGCAAAAGTATAGCAATATCTTTACTAACACAAAATATTACAAGCAAATTGTACCTAAAGTAAAAGTACTCATTATCCAAAATGCTTGTTAACAACTATTCTCAGGTTTGTATTAATATTCTTGCATTTAGACTAAACAGCTGATGGGGTTCTTCTACTTTATAAGCTGATGCATAATTTAAAGGTAGGGTAAGAATGGAGAAACCAGCTCGAGTGTGCTAGAATTTGAAAGTACGCAACCGAAAAAAATCTGCCCCTTCCTTCTTACAGAGCTCCTCCTCCAACACACACGAATGCGCACATGACCAATGAGGGCACGAGATGGAAGGCTGACAGGCAGGTAGGCCATCCAGTTATTTTAGCCGGGCCAGCTAAAATAATTGGTCGTGCTTTTTAAAGCGCTCCGGCTTCCACAGATGACATTTTTGTATGTATTTATTGTCAAAGCATTTAATATAGCCTAGTCATTGCTATCGGGATGTTAAGAGCATTCCATGGAATATAACAAAAAGTGTTTCTGAAGTGAATTACCTACCTTTAATCTGTTAATATATTAACTTTGTATTGTAGTAGTCTGCTGCATTATTTATGAGTGAATCTTTATGTTGTGCATATTTATAATCTTATGATTTCTAAAGTAGACTTACAGTATATCTATGTAAAGGCAGTTAGAAAAAAAACATCTTTCAAGCTCAGATAAAAAAACTTCAGTATTTCCCCTCTGAAATGCATACATTAAGTACAAATACCTTTTTTTATTAGTACAGGACTTGATTAAATGTACTAAGTTACTCAAAACAACAATACATATGTTTAATTGCTTTTAAGTGCAAAATGAAAAATGTCTTCCAAATGTTCCATTTGTGAAAATGTCACTGACAAAATGTGAAATACTTGTTTCAATTCTTGATCTCTAAATATTAAAATAGTTTTATCTCAAATAACAAATGTGCCACAAATTGAGGTGAGAAAATGTTTTTATTTGGCTACGAAACGACCAAATGTTGCACATTTTATAATTACAGCTTTGCACTGTAATACCAAATGTCTCTTTATATTTGACAATATTACAACACAGTAATGATGAGTCACTGTCCCCTCACAGGTCACTTGTGAAAACCTAAATAATGTATACTTATCTTACTTTACTCAAATAGGCGACATTATCCCCACTGCATTCGAGACAATATTACCTCAACATTAATCTGAAAGCTAATTGTTTATGTTAATGCTTCAGCAATACCATCATTCAATAACATTAATCATTATACATGATAAGAAGGGTATTGGTTGGTTTAGGTATTAATGATGAATTATGAAGTATGCATTTACATTGTGGTATAAATTGGCTGGATAGCAAGAAAAAACTATTATGTTTTTGTCAGAGAATAATTTGCTATATAAAAACAATCTGCTTTAAACACAATAATGTTGATACAGTTGTTGCAGTGACAACAGTGAGCCAAAAGGATGGTGTGGAGGTCAAAAACCGAACAGATGGCTAGGAGGTATTTTTGCAGCATTTAATGTACAAATATATATCACCTGCTTATTACGAAACAGACTGACCAAGTGAGTGAATTCACACTGATTTCACCAATTAGTGCAGTAATGAAGGGGAGGTGTAGGTGGGAGAGAGTGAGGGCGTGCTGCAGGAAGATTTTTAATCAGTGTCACAACATGGTTTGACCAAAAGGGGGGATGCAACAGCACTGTCAGACACAGACAGTGTGGAATCTGGGTATTAGAGGGTGATTCATATCAGGCATATTTAAAGATTTACCAAATGAGGAGATGGATTGCATTTTCATTCCAAAGTTTTATTTTATCACAGCTCTCACTATGTGAAGCCACTGTTGGAACGCGCAGCAGTCCTCTTTCCTATTGGCTGTCCGCAGCGTCGCTCAGAGGAATGACGATTTTGCTGCTATAACCAGCTGATACGGAGACTATGAACACGGAGCCTCTGAGGAACTGTTGACGGTACATGGATACCCTGTCATCGGCGATATGGCTGCAGATTTGTTCTCGTACCCATCCGGAGATTGAGTGAGTAGGATATTTGATCGTGTCACGACGCACAGGCCCGGGCTTTTTCACCCCCCTCACCCCCTGTCGCTCCACATGATGTTTCTTCGTCTTCCCACATCATCATCTCCATGGGCATGATGCTGTGTGCTCCACAGATTGAGCTTTCTCACATCAAATCTGCAGGTAAACATGTCTTCATTGGTTTAATGATGGACGGGCTGCCATGGATTTTTGTGCGTGAATTTATGTCTAATTAGGGCTTTATGGGTAAACGCTATTTGCGGGTTCTGTTGTGCAACACTGTCGTGAACATGGTCCGTGAACTACCTTATAATATATGCACTGGTTGCTGTGTAGGCTGAGAAACGCGTGGACAGCGACGGAATGGTGGTGCGCTCCGCAACGCAGCGAGGAGAGAGACGCAGTTTCGATGCAGAGAGAGCAGCATTACTATCCTCTCTCTCTCACCTCACACACACGCACGCACACACATTCTCTCTCGTGCACGCGGGAGCACGCACAAGCCCATTAAATTCACAATCTCAAACTCAGTAATTCCCGTGATTTTCTTTGCATGAACACATCAACAGGCGTGTGTTTGCGAGATTAATGTTTCAGTCCAGACTATCAATATGTTCTGCACTTTCTTGACGTTTTCACGGTATTTCCATTTACCAACTGTCTGCCTGATGGCTGCAAGGAGAAGCAGCAGTTTATCAATAAACCGACTGTGTGCTAAACCCATTTTTTAGGAAGATTTGCCTCTACTGGATATAATGCTTATAGGCTGCTCTAGTTGCAGGGTTTTGGGGTGTATGCCCATTCAGGAGTGATACAGACAGTATATATCTAATGACTCCCCAGAGGCAGCACCATATCCTTAAAGACGAACCATTGATGGCCTCATCATCCACCTTATCACTTCCCCTGGAAAGGCTGTGTGGAGTGTACACTGCATAGAAAACGCCCACACAGGCACATGAGCCAAATCAACATTAAAGTGTTTTTGCACTGCTGAATATATCAAGTGTTAAACAAATGAAGTTGGACTGCTACTGCGAGAAGCTTTGATGGGTCCAGTCCAACAACATTCACATTACAAAAGAGGCATTTAATAATTGTGGCCAGTTTTTGGATGTGTGACAGGAGGAGATCTTAGTCTTAGGATATAATTGTTCTGAGCCTTTTTCTTTTCCTAATCCAGAACACTTCATCTTTGAGTGTGTATAAATGTAGAACATTATCTTGGAAAACAAGGGAAAAGCAAAGTACCGGCTAAATATTAGCACTAAGGAAGAATCTAAATAGTGAGAATGTTAAGTAATCCTATATTTTACACATTTTGTTCAACATCTCAAATGCAATTATACATTGGGTTAAACATCAAAGGCACTTTAGGATGATGGGAATATCCTTAGTTTTGCAGGTAGGGTCCATACAAACCAAAGAGATGGAAGCTCTTTCAACCTGCATACATGCTCACAACAATGACAAAGCTTACATTCTCATGCTTAGCAGGTGTTATGTTACCATGTTAACCATTTTAGTTTAGTGTGTTAGCATGCTATCATTTGCTGATCAGCATAACACTGTACAGCTGTATAGTACTGTGGACATATAATGTAACTACATTATATGTTGTTACTATATTTCCAGCTATTTGGTCATAAACCACAGGATCACAGAAATAATTGAAATTCATTGTACGGGAACGTGAATGTCTGGTCCAAATATCATGCCAATCGATTACATTGTTGAGACATCTCTATAAAAAACACAAGCATTCACCTGCAGAGGAAACGTCAGTTTGACTAAATTATTAGGATCTTTATAAAAACCTTTACAGTATATTTGTACCAAGAATTGTGCCAAAACGGTGGCAAGCTATAGGCACTTCCTTAGGACTTATCATCCTATCCATACCAAATGTTGCTGACATCCAGCCAATAGTTGTTGAGGGATTGGGGGATCACCTGTTTGATTCATCCTCTGGGGGTCTGCTGGGTTGTGGTCCAATTGACCAACAGTAAACTTCAAAGTTAGACCTGTGCAAAGCATTTTCTCCAGACTGTCCCCCTCGCAGAATCCTGCAGAAAGAATGTGTGGCTGATGGGAGAGAATGACTGTGTGGAAATCATACTTGAGTCATCCATGATTTAAATGTGTCCTCAAGGAAATGCTGCCTTTTTGTACATGCACATGCCCTACATAGGCACCATCTGTGCCAGGAATACCAGCAGCATGCTACTGCCAGTGCAAAGCATGTTGGGAAGTTGGACCTTGGAGTGACCCTTCGACAGCATATCTTATTAACACCTTGCTTCTCTGTTTTGTTTCATGTCCTGCAGGTACGACCGTGTGGAGGTTTGGATATAAATGCGAGAAGGACAACAAGGAATAAAGGGAGACAACTGAAACGACTTGAATCAGATCCATAAATAAAAGAACCCTGACATTCAAAAGCCAGATATAGACTGAGGAAGAGAGCCATAGAATAATTTGTGAAGATGGGGTGTGGTCAGACGTCGTTTCTCATGGACTCTACAGTTCACCCCTTCAGCCGCCGGTCAAAGCAGGATTCTCCGCGCTAAAACCCAGAGCAGCTTATTTCACCTGCTAGAGGAGCCCCCACCCTCGGTGATGTGATGAATAAGTTTGAAGTCCTTGGCATTGTGGGAGAAGGTGGGTGTTTTTTACACAGCAGATTTGACTGCATGTTTGTGGAACGTGAGGAGAATGTGCGTTGTTAACCTTCAACTCTGAGGCTGGTGATCAGATGAGGTCATATATCCACGGTGTCCGCTTTAATGGGGATTTGGGTGTGGGGTTGTTTCAGTTTGCATTGTATAGTTGAAACCTGCACATCACAGTTGTCAGATGTTATATCTCCGGCATGTCCTGATCATTTTATCACAATTCTGAGGGATATTATTGAAGTTTGTGGCCTGAAAGGTTGCAGACGTTTATCATAGAGTGGTATAACCATGTATGACCTCACAAGGGCAATGACAGAATTAATAAGTTGTTTGCTACATTTTCTCAAATATTTTCCCAAGCCATTATTTTTCCTGGACTGCTGATAGAACCAGGCTATCGGAAACAGGCTTATATTTACCAGGGCCTTATTTCTATTTTTCCCTGCTTTATATCTTAGCAGATTTGACTAAGAAGCTTCACTGTCTCTTGATTAATTTGCTGATAATGCATGGATGCTGTTGTCTTGTTAGACAATTGTATCAGTGTGGTAACAAAGTCATCACTCACCACTATGCTGTTCTGAGTTTCTTTGATGAGAGACCAGACCTTTATTAACTTTTACACTCTCAGGAAAACATATGAAAGTGCAGAGGTCATGAGCATAACCCCAGATGGTTTGCGTTGTATGTTTCTGTAAATGTGTGCTTCTGTGTTTTGCAGAATAACAAAAAAGGTCAAATTTGCTTGAGTAACCAAATTGGTAATTGGTAGATAAATGAGAAAACAACAAATCTTTCTGCCAATGATGATTGAGTAGTAGTATAAGACCTTGACACATTAAACCACGCAGGAATGATTTCATCTTAGCTTATTTCAGTGAGTCAGGCTGACATGTATCCCTGGCTTTACTTTAATGTGAGAAGTCAGAGTAACCAAGTGTTTATTGTTCTGTAGATAATTCTCACTAACTGCGATCTACAACAGTGCTTGTCAGGATACATTAATCAAAAAGTATGACACATGAGAGCTGCAATTAAAGGAGGCAATTATTTCTCATAATACAAAGAATGTAGTCTCCTGAAAAATGTAACTGCACTTTACTTTTATGTCATCACTGTTGGTGTAAACATGTAGGACAATTAGTTGTTTCTCGCCTTGGTCCCCGGTTAAATTAAACATTTAAACTGAAACAGCTACAACTGAGACTGGACCTCATTATGTTTTGTGTGTGATTTGAATGGAAACAAAAGCAGTTTGCAAAGAAAATGTACTTACAACCAATGCAAGTCTGTCTTACACGCCTGAAACACAGGCCCAACATAGACCTGACCTCTTAGTGAAATACAGGTGTGTGTGTGTGTGTGTGTGTGTGTGTGTGTGTGTGTGTGTGTGTGTGTGTGTGTGTGTGTGTGTGTGTGTGTGTGTGTGTGTGTGTGTGTGTGTGTGTGTGTGTGTGTGTGTGTGTGTGTGTGTGTGTGTGTGTGTGTGTGTGTGTGTGTGTGTGTGTGTGTGTGTGTGTTGTCAAAGGTATGGGCATATGCGTGTGTGTGTAGAGTGTGTGGGAGAGTGCGTCCACCTCACCTACTAACTGTTGTTTAGCCAGAATTCTCAACTATGTTTGTTTCTTTTTCTCTTTTTTCCAGGAGCATATGGAGTGGTGCTCAAGTGCAGGCATAAGGTAAGACTTTTAGAGATTTCTCATTTCTGTTATTGATATTTGTATGACAATATTTATGTTTAGCATTATTCTAAAAGTCTTTGTGTCATAGTTCATTTTGAGATGTTAAAATCATACGATGATAAAATATGTAGACTGGATTAATCAGTCAATTTTCAAGCAAAAATTGGCAACTTTGTGTCTGTTACAGTTTCAAGGATTGGCTACTTGTTCTTTGTTTTTTAACTCTTGGTCGGATAAATAATACAATCAAAGGGCAAGATAATTGGTCATGGCCATTTTAATCAATTAATCGAGATCATCATCGACACAATAATCTATATGGAAAATGTGTAAGTTGCAACCTAAATTGAAAAACTAAAATAGGTAGAGGATGTCTAATATTTAAGTTACATTGGGCTTATAGTCATAAGAGAAGTAGTACAAGTACTCATTCTCTCGGAAAAATGCAATTGGCAACAAATCACTAGATAACCTCTTTCCTTCCTTACTGTCACTAGCATACTTTATTTGTTTGTAAATCTCAACAACAATGGTCAATTCTAATGGCTAACACCGAATTGCTTGCTAGCTTGAATCTAAAACGTGCATACCAATGTTAAAGTACTTTTTCATTTAACAGTTTGAAAACAAGCTGAAATATACTGTCGATATAATGCTGTTGTGTATTATCTTCCTCTTCTTGCTGTTTTTTACATAGCTGTGAAAAGAAAGCGGAACAAGGATAAATAAACAATCAACACATCCTGGTTAATAAAGTCATGAAAAGGTTCATCTGAATGAAAAAAGCCATCACTGTTCAAATTAACCATCAACAATCAGCGTAGGATTGGGTGTGACACATCGTACAAACGAATTGTTCCACACTGTTCTTGACAAAATAAAATAAATAGATTAGAACAGATATGAGCGGGGAAACTATTCAGTCAAGTGAGTATCTGTACTGTCATTAAGAACAGAAACAAAAAACTAGGGCCTTTTTGCCTTAAACTCACAAATTATTTTGGTGAAAGTATTCCCACATTCCTTTTGATAATGACATTGTTATGTGATGTAATATATCACAAAAATGAAAATTAAAGAACCAATGCCAGAAATGTTCCATTTGAAGTGATTATGATGCGACTGTCTCAATGTGAGGTAGAAAGAGAAGACTTGAACAATTATTTTAGACAAAGTAAAGGCTTCTCAGAGTTTATAAATAAATACTTTTTCTCTTCCAAACCAAGCCACTTTGAGGAACGTTCATTATAAAATGTTCTGTAGTGAAGAATAATTTGCGTCTAATTCTGTATCATTCTCTCTCATTTATGAACATAACATATTTGTGAAAAACACCTCACTCCACACGAGAGCGAGAGAGGACTAATGTGGGAGGAGTGACAGTCGCAGCAAAGTCAACGAGAGGAAAAGGACATTTTTAAATATTTAATGCTGCTTTACCCTTATGTGTTTCCTAGAGAGTATTCAAAATGGCTATTTTTATTATTGTTTCCTATACGCTCACCCAAGTATGTTTATAATTCAAAGATGTAATTGGAAGCAAACTAATCTGGGTAGTTACTGCTTACATTGCGTGATAGCTGAATGGGAAATGAAACTAAAATGGCTTGATTCATTATGTGAGTACTGTGAGTGCTGGGCGTTTGCCCTGTGGTCCCCGCACGCCATGTTGGCATGTTTCGTTCATTTCAGGCCCTTTCACTTGACCAAGTTTTCTCAACGCTACACTTCATGAACATTTCAAGTGAGCCATAAATTATATACATTGAGAACTCTAAATATGCAATCACTTGCGTTCTTGAGACATGAACGAGGTAGTTAGCAGAACATGAGGGTTAGAGAGGAAGTTGCAACCCCAGCAGAGACAGATTAAACGGTAAACCACAATCTGCATGATCAGACGTGTTAAAATGCAAACTGAAAGTGACTAAACCTGGACATTTGTTGTCACATTTCTCTTGTCTTTCAAAGATGTGTGTGTCTGTAAAGTGTTTGTTCTCTGATTAAGGTCTTTGTGTAAAGCTGCCTAAGAAAATGTTTCCCCATATCAACACTAGTCAAGAAAGGAACACATGACTTGGTTTGCTGCTAACTTTGGAGAGAGAGGCAGAGAGCCTCTAGTAATTATAATTTATATTCTTTGTAATAAAAGCACCAGTAAATGTGTGAGAGTGTTCAACCACTGAGAAATGAAAGTTTAGGGCTACTTAATCAGTAAAGAAATTACGTAGTGTGTAAAATGTTTCTGAATAACAATATGTTTTGATGCTTGATAACAACAGATAAACCAAGGTCAACAACACCAATTCATACATTTTTTCATTTAAATCTCTTTTCTTTTCTACATTTTATTGCACCACATATTAGATTCCCAACAATACCAAAGAAATTAAGATACCAGCTGTCAAAGTGTGATAATGTTAAACCCTTTCTATGGCACTAACTTACTAAGAAGTGACATGTGACACGTTTCCCACTTATATAACAGTTGTGGAGGATTCATTTTCACACATAAAGCCAGAGAATCAGACCATGGCAATGAAAGCTTTTTAGCTTTGCTGCGAGAGAGCAGTTTATTTTTACTTTTCTCAGCTGGAAGGAGGGCAAAAGAGAAAAAGGGTGGCAGAGGGAGAGCGTGTGTGTGCGTGTGCGTGTGCGTGTGCGTGTGCGTGTGTGTGTGTGTGTGAGATGGAGAGTAGGATTGTTAAAGGGAGGTATTGAATATGGAGACTATGCTGACAGTAAATGGGTCACCCTGTTAGGAGTCGACAGCAGTCTGTGGTAGTGCGAGGCAGCGGGCTCAAACCCAAGCAGGTGACTCAGAAGAGCCTAACTGTACTACCAAGACACGAAATGCATTATAAATGTGTGCCCCTGTATAAATTATGTATACTTTACAGTACAGCATGTGTTTGATGGAACATTTAATTAGCTGAGCGAATGTGTGCCCGCGTTTGTGCAATGTTCTGCCACTTTATGGAAGTGTTGTATTAGCGTATGTGGGTGTGTGTATGTGGAGGCTTATGTGTTATCTTGAATTTGTGTGTTGGGAGTGACAATGGCTCAACCTACACGCTAGCCGGTTATTCCTGGTGCCTAAATGTTATCTGCTGTATTGTATTGCTTAAGGGGTTTTAATTCATTTCCACTGGTTGGGTTAACAGGAACTGTTTTAGTTACTCTTTGAAAAATAATTTAAGTATTTTGTAAAAACCTGGGAATTTTGCTATTTTTAAAGTTTGTAATCTTTGTAGGCAGAATGCTTTTGTGGTTTTGACTGTTGGTAAACCATAGTAAGTGCCTGGGCTCTAGTTACTTTTGATTGACATTTTATATATTTATAAAAGGAACTGGGTTACTATAAAAAGATTGTTGATGTAAGATATCAGTCTGGATGAGAATAAACGTTGCTTTTGTTTAATATAAGGTTTTGTCACAGTTTAAGATGACTTTACTCTACATGTTGAAGAGCACAAGTTCAGCGGCATGGTACTTTTATATCCCAATATCAGTAAACATTGAGATGGATCATATTTTGGGAAAAATAATAGACCAGTTAATGGAAATAGTATTTAGGAGGCAAATAAAGACAAACAAATAAAAGATATGGACCTGTGTCAGAAAGCAAATGTAATTGAATAAAAGGGCAAAAAGAAAGGAGATAAGGACAATCAAAATATGGAGTTTTCATGATGGGGGGGTGCTGAGATGAGTAAAATACAGCACTGCAAATAGATGACAGGCCAATTGCTACGTGCTTTAAGGTAAAAATGGGCTATAAGTGTGGTGTATTTTTCCCATTTAGCATAATTATGCTGACCTCTATATAGCAGACATGTATTAATATGAAAGATAAGAGCACTAACATCACCTCCTCTGTGGCACAGATTATGGTAGCCTGATTATTGCACACATCCTGCCATTGTATGATAAACCTTCATTGCTGATGTGAAAGCTGTGCTCTTTTGTTGAATGTGACAATCAGTGGCTGTTCATGTCCTCAGCAGAAAATTAGCAAGAGGTTATTTTTAGATGTGCTGACTTTACAGTGGCTCAAAAAAGGTAAATCAGTGGAGGTCAGAGCCACAAGCATCATCAGCACATTACAGGGTGCTGCCACAGAGCGTGTGTAACATGCTGTATCTGTGTTTCTGATTTTGCCTCATCATTGAATACAAAGAAGAAAATTACAATGAAATCACGGATGTACTTTCTTTCACTGGAAACTGAAGCTCTACTTATAATTAATTGTAAATAAGAGCTCTTGCCCCATGCTATTTTATTTTGTTTTCTGTTCCTAACCACGTGGTCCTCTTCTCGACACTGAGGCTGACTGTCTCTCTGACCCTCTTTAGACAAAAGGACAATAGATAAACATGAGAGTATCAGAGGACACTGGCCTGATGCTGTAATTCCCTCTGGACTGCTGTTGTCAACATCTCCTCAGGGTCTAACATTAGGATTAAACAATGACGTCACTCAGTTATGTTGCATCCTTTCAAAAGATTTGACATTCTTTTTAAATATAATTTCAGTCTTTAACTTTGTTCTGTTTTTAGTGTGACCAAAGGACAAAGTCTTTAATGCAAAAAATCGTATTTAAAGAATATTTAAAAATGACATCTTTCATACTGCCACTGAAGCAAACAGTTTGTGTTATGTATTGTTTCAAGCTATAGAAATGCCATCAAGGGCATTATCTTTTAATAAAAAATATATATTTACGTATATAAACTTGCTCACCTGTGAATACCTGCTTGACTTGTGTCTGTGTGTGCATCTAAGGACTTCAGTCTCCCCTCTCATGTATCAAAGTTAATCTGAAGCCTTACAATAGTCACTGTTCATTAAAATGCAAACCATATAACCACTGAGTAATTTTACCTCAGTCCAGATAGTTATTTCTCAACAGTTTCTAAGGAAAATCATCGCCAGACCAAACTGCTACTCTATGTTAGGAAGGAGAAGCTTAACGGGTTTCACTGGAACATACTGAAACAAATCATCAGAGACAATTTGGCGATTTAAAGGTGGGGTAGGTAATTCACTTCAGAAACACTTTTTGTTATATCACATGGAATGCTCTTAACATTCCGATAGCAATGAATAAATGAAATGCTTTGACAATAAATACATACAATCATCTGTGGAAGCCGTAGTACTGTAAAAAGCACGACCAATTATTTTAGCCGGCCCGGCTAAAATAACTGGATGGCCTACCTGCCTGTCAGCCTTCCATCTGTGCACAAACTTATCTCGTGCCCTCATTGGTCATGTGCGCGTTCGTGTGTGTTGGAGGAGGGGCTCTGAAGGAAAGGGCAGATTTTTTTTTTTTCGAGCTGGTTTCTCCATTCTTACCTACCCTACCTTTAATGTTAGTCCTCCAGCATACTTGGGACCAAATGAAGTTACTTTATGTACTCTGAGATAAGGCACGGAAATGCTCACTGCAGTGTCAAGAGGTAGCTCTATCACATAGATTGCTTTATTGTGGGAAATAATTCCCTTTTGCAGGAGCTTCTCATGGTCTTAAACACAATACAGCGGGGTAATCATGAAAGCATGATTTATATCTGGCTGTGTTCATTGTATTTTGCCCAATCATACACAGAGCCAGTAGAACATCTATTAAAACCTGAAGAGGATTTGAAGACATGTGCAATTACCCTATGAGTGTCCTATTTGCAAGAACATACCTCATTTATGTTTTTTTTTTAATCCCACAAATAATCAACCTGATATGTGGAAACCTGCAGCAGAAGCTACAGTTGTATTGTTTTCCAGTAAAGCTGGACAATAGACTTGATGTGTGAAGCTGCAGCACAGCCTTTAAATCTCTGTATCTGCTACCAGCAAGGAGCTGAAGGAAACCTACGGTGCATATCAACTATGCCAGGATGTGCTGTTTCTTGTGTGGGATTGCCCTGTGGCACAATAATTAAAAAGAGAGCACACAGCATGGCTCTTGACTTGGCAATGCCTGAAACTTGAGCTTCCTTTTTTTATTGAGAGGCCAGGAAATTAATTTGAATATCTTTAGCTTTTCTCTTTTTCGTCTTTTTCACCAATCCCTCGACAAATACTTTCTATGTCTGACATCTTATTTGAATGTTGCATGTATCTTTGTATCTGTCATTATATCTCAGAAAATCACTGAGCCTTTATTTAACCCTCCTGTTGTGTTCGTTTTCCCCCCCTTACTTTGGTGTTCGTGGTCAAATTTGACCGGTCCCGTTTTAACTGCTATTACATTAACACAAAAACCATTAATCATCACCAAATTTCATTTAACACCCTTTTAAACTGTAAATATTGTATCAGACCACTGGTATACATGAAACACTGCAGTAAATATACAAAGAATAGACACTGAACATGTATTGCGTGGGCCAGGTGTGATCCATGTGGGGGGATGGGCACATAAGAGCGGGAAATGTATCAAATTGTTCTGTGTGTGTGTGTGTGTGTGTGTGTGTGTGTGTGTGTGTGTGTGTGTGTGTGTGTGTGTGTGTGTGTGTGTGTGTGTGTGTGTGTGTGTGTGTGTGTGTGTGTGTGTGTGTGTGTGTGTGTGTGTGTGTGTGTGTGTGTGTGTGTGCGTGCGTGCGTGCGTGCGTGCGTGCGTGCGTGCGTGCGTGGGGGGGGTGGTTGGTTGGGTGTTTGTGTGTGTGTTTTATCTGATCCGGATGGTTATTAATTCCATTTCTTCATTTTTGACCGGGAACACCATATGTGTTACAAAGTTGACTAAATCATCCAAAATTCAATGAAAGTGGTGATCAGCAAATGTATATGTTCAAATGTCTACTGTGAAGGATATCATAAAGCCTTAATGCAATTGAATGTAAAACAAAAAAGTTATGATTGATGAAAGTAGTAAATCGGTCAGATTTGACCCGAACACAACAGGAGGGTTAATTCCATGCCTTTTATTTATTTCGTTTTAACACAACTCACATCCTGATGTCTTCACAGGAAACCAATGAGCTGGTGGCCATTAAGAAATTCAAAGACAGCGAAGGTGAGTGAAGGAGCGAGGCAGGGAGAAATGGAGGGAGAAAAAAAAGGAAGCAATTTAAGTCAGTCTTTTTAATTTCCGCACAGAAAATGAGGAGGTCAAGGAGACGACGCTTCGGGAGCTGAAGATGCTCCGCACCCTGAAGCAGGACAACATCGTGGAGCTGAAGGAGGCTTTTCGCAGGAGGGGGAAACTCTACCTGGTCTTTGAATATGTGGAGAGGGTCAGCCTGACACTATCATTATTATTTCATGCTATGCCCTCACTGATTCTTCCATTGCATGTCTCCACTCTGCTGCATCTAGTTTCTGCATGTTGAGACTGCTCAGTTAAGCATAAAAACAGCATCACCATGGCAACATATGAACTATGCTGTTGGTGAATAATGGTATTCCCCACTGTGTTGCCAGGGTATCTAGCCAAGAGTTTATTTCATGACAGGTTTTTATTTTCATACTGTACTCAAGTAATTCTAGCATGGTGTCCCCTCTGACTCCTTTGATCAGGGTTTAAAGGAAAAGTGAGATCAGGGAGTCCAATCCCCTCTGTAGGAATAATCCAGGACAAAGTTCAGCAACATTCATATTTTAATAACACATATTCAGCAAACTCAACCTGCAGCCACACATCCTCTCTCTTCTCTGGTTTGCAGAACATGCTGGAGCTTTTAGAGGAGCTGCCCAACGGTGCACCGCCTGATAAAGTCCGCAGCTACATCTACCAGCTCATCAAAGCCATCAACTGGTGTCACACCAATGATATAGTCCACAGAGGTGAGGAGTGCATCTTTATTTCTACATCAATGTCTCAACGTTAGTGTCACCTGGTGTTTAGACTGAAAATCGCAATCATCTTAAAGGGGACCTATCATGCAAAATGCACTTTTTGATGTCTTTTATACATAAATATGTGTCCCCGGTGCGTCGGGGAACTCACGCAGCGTCAGAAAATAAAACCCCCTCTGTTTTCCTCCGTACCCAAATCTTTTAAAAGCAGGGGTACAACGAGCGGATACAGATTTGCCGCCGATCTGATGTCAAATCGGCGGCTGACCCACAGAAAATTGCTATCAGAAACAATGCCTGACGTGTTTTGGACGTAATCTCGTCTTTGTTTACATTAGCAAGCCTCGCTAACACTCAGAGCTAACCTGTACTGTAGAGCACATGTGTTTAAAAAGCAGGAAATAAAAAATGGAACTCACCTTGTGATAAACCTGCAAGAGAAAAAGCATTTGAGCTCCATACTGGTTCAGAAATAATCCTTGATGTGGTTTAGAACAGGATGGCGTTTTATCACAGCAGAATTTAACTTTATCTCCGGTAGAATTCTGATCAGGCGTTAGCTCCGCCTCCTCTTTTTTTTTTTTCAAGCTAAGGACCCAAAATCCGCATTTCTCTAACAGGGCTGCAAAAGAGGGGTATGAGCAACATGAGGCATGGCTACAATGGGTGATCTGTTTGGTATTTTAAGCCAAAAACGATACTAGGTATGGCCCTACAATATATTTTTCCAATATAGCATAATAGGTCCACTTTAAGTAAAACAGGTTGTTTTAGCTCACTTTAAATACAGGGTAATTGGCTTATATTGGGATTGTGCTACAATTGCAATTCTATCACTGAAACATGTTGCTAAAAGCTGTTTTTCTGCGTCTCTAATACAGATATCAAGCCGGAGAACCTCCTCATTAGCTCCGAGGATGTTCTCAAACTCTGTGACTTTGGTGAGTCATTGGTCTTCTCCTTACAGCTGCCATATTATCACGTCGAGCTGTTGAGATTTACATGGGCACTGCAGTAAAACCAGTGCAGTGTTTTACACGTTTGCCTTGTCAAATAGATCTAATTGCATTGGTTCAACAGAGGGAATCAGCTATTAACAGTGATTTATTAGACATCCTGCTGTACATGAAGGTTCATTATGATGCTTTCACATTATCTGCGATTCTTTTAAGTTATATCTTTGTTTTTAACCTTGGCAGTTTGTTTTCTTTGGCCTCACGTCTCTGTGAAATATCCCACCATTAATTTGTCCCCTTGCAAGTTGTAAAAAAATCAATTCTGCCACTGGAAAGCAGCCAACTGGCTGTGTCAAACGCAGTGAGGTGGTTTTTTGCACAATCAAACTGCCATAGTAATATCCAAAGAAAGTCCAGTGAAGGTTAGGCTTCTGTTTCCCCTGTAAAATACTAACCGTATAGTTAGAGCATTGCTTTGTAATATTCGAGTTTCCCAGGTGAATTTCTGTGCCTATTTTCAAAATCACAGTCGGTCAGCTTTGCATACTTTTATCTAATGCAATCCTACTGACTCAGCTGGGGTGAGAATTGTTTGTTATTCACTGTTAGAGCTGGCATTCTGCTTATTGTGATATTTCATGCTTAAATTGGACTTTTGTACAGCCGCACCACGGTCTCCGCCCTCCTGCAGTGACATAACTAATTAGGTGTCTGGTCACATGGGATGATGGCCATGTTGTTACTGTCGCCGTCCAAGAGTGTTGATTACACTTTACTCTTACTAATTAGCCATTTATATGTTTCACACAGTGCTGAATGTCTAAAACATAGTGTCAGTATCTATGAGATTTATTCATCTCCATATTTCTCTGGCTCAGGTTTCGCTCGTAACCTGTCTGAAGGAACAGATGCCAATTACACTGAGTATGTGGCTACAAGGTGGTACCGCTCTCCTGAGCTGCTGCTTGGGTGAGTGTGCTTGTGTGTGTGTATGTGTTTGTGCGTGTGTGCGTGCATGTAAGTCTGTCGGACAACATGAAAATCAAGGAGAAAGAGAAAGTGACCTCATTCTGTTGGCTCGCGCAAGTCATTCTCAGCATTTCTTTAATTCTCTACCAGCTTTTATAGAAGATTGTGTCAGACAGTGTCACTTTGATCTATCACTTTTCTCCTGATAGTGTTTCCAATAACCTAATTCAAGATACAGGATACCTTTCCAACACCAGTGCTCTCATTTTCCTGAAATCCCAATCTTTCAAGCGTACTGCAAAGAAGTGATTTGAATATGTTTCATTTAAGGTTACATGAGGCTAATTATTGCCATGGCATTACAACTCTAAGAGATATAAAGAAATCACTGCATTTCATAATGATAACACTAACTGACTAAAATAAAACAACCATTAAAAAACTGGGACCAAAGATCCCAAATGTGTCTATGTGCTTTAAAGGATCTGGCAGCGCATATTCATTCATACGTATGAGATAGTGGTGTTTGACACACAAAAATATGCTACCAGTAAAACATCAGCCGTTCTCCAGGGGTCCATGAGAGGATTACAGAAGGTCCCCAGAGAAATTAGTAGCAGCAGAACATGCATGAAAACGACTACTCTGCTCTTAGTTGTCATTCCTAATACGTCACCTTACCTTCTGTAAGGCTTCATAGATGTGTCCGGTGACATCTAACATATTGTCACAGTCTTGTCAAATCACGCCTCTCAAACTCATCAGCTTTCATGAGCTGCAAAAACCAACAACCTTATTTTCAGCCTTATAATTGAGTGTTCATATATCTTAAGAAGTAGTGAATGTTCTCAATCTATAGAGGGACAGTTAATACTTTTCTTTATCTAAAAATTCACCAAATTTGAAAAATAATGACTTAACATTAACAGACAGCAGCTGCCAATTTATTCATATTCTAAAACAGCAGCCAGCTGTGAAGCATTATAATATTTAACTGTTTCATTTTGTTGTATTATATTTATGTATTTTTTTGCACAAGGTTCAATTCAATTAATAATTTTGTGTAACTTCCATATTCACCCTTTTCATCACATCATAGATGAAACAGGTGTTTCTATTTCCCCAAAAAGAGGCGATGATTCACCTGCTTCAATATAATGACACGACCCATCGTGCACACTGTACCCTGAGACTACATTTCGGATTTTCGCAGTTTATGCTGTTTTTTGCTGCATTGAATGTCCATTCTAGCGTATAACAGCTGAATGTCATGTAGCTTCACTGCTGTAGCCTGATTTAGTAAATGCCCTGGAACATTTATTGAGACAGCGTTTGAATGCCGCCCACTCAAATACTCTCTCCCTCCAACACCACCGCTCCTCTGCTTTTCTGCTGCCAGATCTCTCGCCATTTCTCACCAGACTCCTCAGCTCCGTTCCTTTAGAAATGCCCATCGTCTTTATGACCAGCAGGAACTCAGCATCCATCCTTTTGTTTTACTGCACCACCATCCCACAAAATAACATTATCCTCCTCATCATTCTTATAATCATCTCTAAATTATATGTACTCTCTCTTCCCAGGGCTCCCTATGGGAAGGCGGTGGACATGTGGTCGGTGGGGTGTATCCTCGGGGAGCTGAGTGACGGACAGCCTCTGTTTCCAGGGGAAAGTGAGATGGATCAGGTAGGCAATGCAACAAAAAGGTCCATTAGTCAGTTAGCTGTTCATCAAAATAATAATAATGTTTTTATGGCGACTATAATCTGTACCTGGCGAAGAGCCGCTTTGACTTGACATTTTTTCTGCTATAAAAATAAAGCAGACATTAAAAAGCTATGATACTGTAGTGTTAGATAGTGTTGGACCCACAACCTGGACAAAAAAGTATTTTATGTTTATTTTACACATTGTTTGCATCTGATATCATTTTGATATATATCAGGACTTAATGGTTTTGGTTTAATTTTGCTGCAGTTTTCTGCAAAAAAAACCTCTTTAAAGGAACTGCACGCTTCCAAACAACAGACACACAAAGTTCACAACCAGAGCTAGTGAAAATAATAATACAGCTCCATACAGCTGTCAAAGAAAATCACCTTAGTAGCTGTTTACTAATTTCATATTTTCTTCGTCAGCAGATATACAGATTTACTATAGATTTGTAAAAATTCCTTGCTTGAGGACCTTATGTACTTCTTGTCCTCCATTGGTTTAACAATTAGATTGACACTTCATCATAGTTGACCTTGGAAACAGCCATTCTCGCCTCTTAATGTCTTCAATTAATCACTTGTCTCCAGCTCTTCACCATTCAGAAGGTTTTGGGGTCGCTTCCTGCAGAGCAGATGAAACTCTTCTACAACAACCCTCGCTTTCATGGAATCAGAGTAGGACAAATTCTCTTTTACACTTTCTACAGTCTTCTTCTTCTTACCCCTCCTACCACCAGATTTGTCCTCCCTTTCAGCTCCCTCTCTCTGTCTATATGTCCCTCTCTCTCCCTCTCTCTCATGGCAGTGTTCCCAGCACCATGACTGAGTGGATTGCTATGACTCATGAGCTAGGTGGTTGGTGTGTAGTTTAGCAGCAAGAGAAAATGTCCCAGAAGGCCGAACCAAAGTGTGTGTGTGTGTGTGTGTGTGTGTGTGTGTGTGTGTGTGTGTGTGTGTGTGTGTGTGTGTGTGTGTGTGTGTGTGTGTGTGTGTGTGTGTGTGTGTGTGTGTGTGTGTGTGTGTGTGTGTGTGTGTGTGTGTGTGTGTGTGTGTGTGTGTGTGTGTGTGTGTGTGTGTGTGTGTGTGTGTGTGTGTGTGTGTGTGTGTGTGTGTGTGTGTGTGTGTGTGTGTGTGTGTGTGTGTGTGTGTGTGGAAATCTCTCATTCTCTTTTCTATACGTCAAAAAGTCTAGTTTCGATACAAATTTGATCCAATGTTTGTCTGTCTGTCAGTTTCCCTCAGTTACTCATCCTCAGACTTTGGAAAGAAGGTACCAAGGCATCTTGAGTGGTTTGATGTTGGATCTGATGAAGGTATTACATCTGAAACTCTAAATCCATATCATGGAGAATACATGGACATGTTGTCTTAACTAATATAATTCTATCAACTTAATATCCTGTCAATAATCAATATGTAATCAGTTAACATGTTTTCCCATCAGAGCCTGTTGCTGTTGAATCCTACTGAGCGTTTCCTGACGGAGCAGAGTCTGAACCATCCAGCCTTCCAGCCTCTGAGGCAGGCGGAGAGAGAGAGGCCTCCTCCTGCCTCGCCCAACCCACCGCGCTCCTCCAAGAGGAAAACACACCATCACGGAGAGAACACAGTTCCCACAAGGTAGGACTCCTTTATCTGTACCTCCTGCCAACACCTCTTTATTTTGTCATAATTATTTAACTTAGATAGATTGATAGCTTGGAAACTCTAGATTGGAAACTTTCTATTACATCACAGGATATGTCATCATTTCACAAACTGTGACCCTTTTTCAACATGGGTATCTATAGAGAGCTGTAGCTTTAACAGTTTAAAGCGAGTGAAAGTCACAGAGATTACAAATGTTTTCCTGTGGGGCTTGCGTTTCTTGCATCAACTATGACCAACTAGACAACAGTATATACCATCCATGCATGCAGGAAAATGTTTTCCATGTGAGGGAAAATCTGTTGCAGACTTACTTCCTTTAGAAAATATAGTTTTGTACTATACTTGGAAAGAGTATAACCTTTTTTACCCCTCAATTGGCAATTTACCAGGTACAGAGGCATCATTATCATAAACTTGATGCTCTGAATACGTGCAGCACACACTTAAAGTTTAGATGATATGCCATCAGGATTTTTCTAAAACGTAATGACTTTTAAGTGTTACTTTATGCAGCTCAAGGTTTTTGTTCAATCTTTTTAGGCCAGTTTTTTAAATTATTAAAGTAATAAAATAGTAGCAATTTACTCTAATGGCTGCAATCATTGCTTCTTGACATGAGCATTGCGTGTTGAGGGAAGATGGCCCTTAAGAGACTTTTCCTAGAAAGACTGAATAGTTTAATCGGTTATAGGAAAGTTGGAATAAGATCTGATACAATGCAACATTCACACAGATTAGGACTGTATGATGATCTCTAGTATAATGCGAGTGATGTCTGTCCATCCAGGAGTCACACTAAGAGCACGAGCCGTCGCTCCAACGCTAAAGAATGTTCCAGCCTCCCTCGCCATGGGGACCTCCATCACCTCGGCAACAAGAGTTTCCTCAACGGGAACAAACCTGCCCCGTCCAGTTTGAGCCCAACGCTGCACCCCAAGGCCCAGTACATGTCCCAGACCCTCAATCGCTCTGCCTCCTCCAACAAAGACCTGGCTAACAACAACCTGCCCCCGCTGCTCAGTCCCAAAGAAGCCAAAGGCAAGACTGAGTTTGATTTCAATTTGGGACCCTCCACAAAGCTGCTTGACCACGGGGCCAAGTATGGCCACAGCAAACCCAGCTCCTCTCGCTCTCAGCAGCAGCAGCAGCAGCAGCAGCAGCAGCAGCAGCAGCAGCAGCAGCAGCAACAACAACAACAGCAGCAGCAGCAGCAGCAGCAACAACTACAACAACAACAGCAGCAGCAACAACAACAACTACAACAACAACAACAACTACTACAACAACAGCAGCAGCAGCAGCAGTTGCAGCAGCAGCAGTTGCAGCAGCAGCAGTTGCAGCAGCAGCAGTTGCAGCAGCAACAGTTGCAGCAGCAGCAGCAGGTCGGTCGCCATACCTTCCTGGAAGGGAAGAACAACACACTGCAGTCTGGATCAGAGAAGCAACATGGCCGACATGCCGCCCACAGCATGGCAGAATCCTCCCACGGCTCCATGTCCTCCTCTTCGAAGAGTTCAGCATCCTATCTCAGCCTGTCCAAGAGCCACAGCGCACTGAGTGATGCCAAATCTGTCGGGAACCTCAGCGACGGGCGACTCCACCCAGATGACCCAAACTCCAACACAACAGCAGGGGTAGGACCTGGGGCCCGCTTCTTCCCCGCCAGCTGTTTAGACCTCAACGCCCCTCCAGGTCCCCAGGCCCCCCCCGGCAGCCCCTCTGCTCGGCACAGTGATCGGTCTGGGCACAGCCCCGCCTCTCGTAGCAGCGGCAACGTCCGCATGGAGAGCAGCACACTGGACTCCTCATCCAGACACAAATCCAGACATAAACCTTTAGCACCAGGTAGGTCTGAGAGTCATTGGCCACTGAATTAAGAATGGAAATATGCCTTTTTTCTAATAATATTCAAGGTCTTTAAAATTATTTATATCTATTGCCTCAAACACTTGATCTCCAAAAACTGAAAAATGACAGACAGCGGCTTATATTATTCACGTCACCTTTGACAACCACAGTCTGTACAGAAAACTGTAAGATGCTTTATGTCATTGTTCTGTCACTTTCACCAGAGACAGTTCTAAAAACAGCCAGACAAATTTAACTTTTAAAAGAGGAGTTTTTGGCTGGGAACCATACCTTAAGACAACATTGATTTCTGTACTTTGAGGAGGGTCAACAGTGTCAACTATAGTATACAACCACTTCATTATCTACCTGAAAATGTAATTTTAATAAAAGAGAAAGATTACATATATTAATTTGATTGTGTATTCGTTACATTCACTTAAGTGTCTGACATGTCATAAATGACAACTTCAACTTGTAGTGGTAAACATATTTTCAACCATTGATTTGCCGTTTAAGCAAGTTCAAAAATTAAATGTTTTACTTTTGAGATATCTTCAAAAAAATGTAAGATAGCTATCATGTTATGGCCATTTTTTCACAGAGTTGACAGAAAATTTGATCAAACTAAATGATTGTTTAATCAAAAATGAATATGTAGCTCTAAGGATGTTTTTGCTCGTCCAGAGGAGGCCGGTGCTCCGGAGCTCTTGGACCCCGGAGGAGCAGGGATGCCCTCCACTCACACCCTGCCTTCCCCACACGAGTCCTATCACTACGGCCTGGGCTACACCTCGCCCTTCTCCTCCCAGCAGCGGCCTCAGCGCCACTCCATGTACGTGAGGAGGGAGCGCCACCGACCACACCCTATGGAGGGGGGGTTGGCGGTCTTGCCTACACCCGGGCAGGCGATACCAACACGTGCCAGCAGCCTGCAGCTCCTCTCCCCCCAGCTGCAGCACCGCACCACCCTCACCGGACACTCAGTGAGCTCCTCCAGAGAGGACTGCACCGAGGACTTGACCAGGGTTAGTGGCACACAGTCCTGTGAGAGTGGGGGCTGTTAAAGGAAACATTCACCCTCAAATACTGACAAACACTGTGAAGATAATCCATTTGGTATTTTTTTTATTTTAAAGTTGAATATTTAAAAGGCAAGGTTTGTTCAGTCACAAACACTGGGGACAAAAAAATCGTGTTAACTCAAATACAATACATTCAAATACACATAGATATGGTTTGCCATTTGTTTTGCAAATAATTTACATGATTAACTATAGTGTAAAAAATTTAATTTAATAACATAATATAAATAACATAATGTAATAATACATTTGTTAAATAACTTAAATCAAGTAAAAGCTTTTTAGTATTCTCCACCAGAATTGTCTTGCATTATATTGAGGGTATCAAATAACATTTATATCTGAATGTATGCAAGATAAAATACAAGTTAAAATATAATTGTATACATTTATTGTTTTAGATATTTAAAGAAAAATAGTTCAAGCTTTTTCTGACAAATTATTCTATTGTTAAAAAAAGAAATGATAAACTGATGGCAGCGTAGTCAGCAGAAGGGCAGGACCAATGATATCCTTTTGACACTATAACCTTACATTTAACACTATTTCTCAATAGACCACAATGCAATGCAGCCACAAGATGTTGAGTTGTTTTAGAAAGACATCGGTGAAGTTCTCCTCCTGCATTTAAAACCTAACAACAAATGTTAAACACAGTTTACTAGAAATAGGTGAAAGGGATTTTGAGAAAATGTTGATATTAATAAGAAGGCGAATAATGGGTACATACACAGAAATTCAAAGCACATTTCATGACTGTCTTGGGTGAATATTTTCTTTAACTTATTGAAAATGTGTGTTTTTCACGAGTGGACCGTGTGTGCAGGGACTGTCTCTGTCTCACATTATCATTGCTGCTGCTTCATGCTGCTCTTCCAGTCTGCTTTGACCTCGCTGTCCGTCTCCTCAACAGAGTGAGCAGTCACCTAAAGACATGAGCCACCCTTGTGCCCCCATCAAAGACTCTACGAGGGACAACACTGCTGCTTATCATACACAGCGCTCTAAAAACGAGGTCCGACCCCCCCCCCCCCCCCCTACTCTGTGTTTTCCATAGCTTTTTCTGTTTCTATGAAGGTCAACAGCCTCACTGCACGTTGTCGCTGGTATAAGTGTTAAAACGCTGAAAAGCTTTAAGATTGTCCCGATTGTCTTTTGATGTGAGCCAGCAAAGAGTCTGTTCGCTAACGATAAGAAACAGTTGAAATTAAATTAGATCATTGATCACAAATATGAAATTACTGAGGAACTTTATATAGATATGTTTATTTTTGTTTGGCTGCTTGATCCGTGTGTGTTTTCATAGGTCGGCATGTATCACGACCCTCATGTTGAGGATGTGGGATCCTCCAAGGAGAACCGGATGATCTTCACTGAGTCCATGCCTCGGAGAGTAGGCAGCTTCTACCGAGGTAAGGAGAAGAAGCACCAAGAGACAAAATGTGTGTACTGTGTCCTCCAAAAAAGTGATTATTTAGGAAAGGCAATTTGTGTAGCACCCTTAAACAACAAGGCGATTCAAATGCTCCACATCATTTGAAAATTAAACAAGACGTTTAATAAATACACTGCAACTTACAAAATATAAATAGGATTATAAAAGAGTAAAATGTATTAGGTCTCAGATAAATCTTATCTTCTTTTTACAACAAACAGCCCTGTATAAACCATTCAGTTCTTGATAAACCAATTGCAAAAAAAGACAATCTGAGAAGGACATAAAGGAACATACTTTAAAGATTTTAAAAACTTGCATACTTCTCTTCTTATATTTGTATTTGGTGGTGTAGTTTTCTATATAGATGACTTGTAAAATGACATGAGTTTGACACAAAGTTGTTGAGTTTCAATTTTAAATATCAGGAAATAGAATCAAGGAACTATGGTTTTTTTCTACACTTGCCAAAAAACATATTCAAAAGCTTGGGCCACTTGGGCTTTAATAGACAAGACAGACATGGTGGGTTTTGGAAATGTAAGTGTTGTAAATTGAAATGAAACATCCAGGGCAGGTAGACTTTTTCATAATTTAACAACAGCTCTCAAACTTTGATTAATTTCCTCTCCTTGTGTCAGTCCCCTCCCCGAGACCAGACAACTCCTCCTCTTTCCACGACGCTCTCGGTCAGGGTCGAGGGCCGGTTGTTTCCAATTTGCCCGGAGACCCTGTCGTCATGGTCAACCACTCCAAACGCCAGACGGCTTTTGACTGGTGAGAAGTTTTTATTTAAACTGGCCTAGCATGTTTGCCGACTTCAGGGATGGATACTGTAAAGTATCCATCCAAGTAGTGTTGCCTCTGTGTTTAGTGTCCTGTCTGTCTGTAACTTTGTGTGGTAGTGTTACCACTGACAGGTCTCTCTTGCAAATGAGACCTTGTGTCTCAATGAGATTTTACACCTGTATAAATAAAGGCTAAATAAAAGTAGAACCTGTGAACTCAATGCTGTGTAAAGGACACTGCAGTTTGAAGCGTCCACATTTATAGTTCATTCTGTTAGGAACTGAGCTTTACAAAACAACGTACAATGATCTCATCATTTAATGATTAAAATGTTCTCACTTTTATAACACTAACTAAGATCAGATTTTACAAGCGTATTATCACAGCAACTAAATGACTGAAAGGACATCAATGAAAACATGTGACAATATCACTGAATTCAACTCATATTTACTTTCTTCTGCAGAAGAAAAATAAGCAGTTATTATAGTATTTATTGTCCCAATGAACCATAGGAGTGCACATACGTATTATAGGAAGTGACCAAGATACAGTTTATTTGGTGTTTTTTTTATACTATCCAAGATTCCAAGAACAACTCATTTATAACATACATAAAAAGGGCTACTTTTCTCCATAGTCTAGACTCTAGGGCAATTAAAATGTCTTTAGTTTATATGGCAATGGCTGACAAGCTACATCTGACGGATGGAGACGGATGTCATTTGCGATGCGTTGGTCATTTGAAATGCATACAGGATGGAAAAAGCACATTACAGCTGAAGGATCCAAAGAACATCCAAAGAACTGTCTTTGATAACATGATCTATTCAGGTTGTGCCCCTAGCATATGAAACACACCTGTGAAGAAGTCACCATCTACTCCTAAACCTGTAATCACAAACATGAGTCATACAGTCTGAACAATTTTCCAATTTGCCATACAGGACCGCAGCAGAAGCAATGGTCATGAATCCTCCAGAGCCCGCCAAAGAGAAGGAGAAACAAGGCTTCTTCAGAGCCATGAAGAAGAAAAAGAAGAAGACTCAAATAGTAAGATCATCGAAGACATTTCATCCAGCACACATTTCCTTTGGTTCGTTGCGTTTTATCCTTTGTTAATGAAGTTTGTTTTTACTGGGTATCAATAGGCTCCTTCAGACCGGTTAATTTGAAAAGAAAATGTGCAGGAAAAAAACATACTTTTGATTATAACCAACATTTTGTTTTACATCCAAAGTGGTTTATAAAAACTGTGTAATATTTTACAACTAATTTCTGCCCCATTGGAATGTATATAGTGATGTGCTAATGTCTAATACTTTGGCTGGTTTGATTATGTTATGTTAACACATAGAAGTTTACCAAAAAAAACACAATACTTAATACTGAATTTCAACTCTCAATTTTCTTCCTAGGATCTTAACAATTAAATAGTTATATTTAAGTAGTAAGTAATATTTCTTGAAGTGGTTAAGGATCAGGTTCTGCAGATGTTTTTTATTTTCTGTCAGAGATTTGTGTTGAGAGTTGTGGCTGTGCGTCTTCTGCTCCACAGACGGACACGGAGGACGGGAGGAACCCCAGCATCAAGAAAAGCCTTTTCCCCCTCTTTAGCTCTAAGAATAGCTTAAAGCACAACTCAGCTGTCAAAGTCCTCCCTGTAGTGGCCTCGCCCATGGTACAGCACCAGCCTACCGTGCCCTACCCTGCCTCACCAGTAATCTAACCTCAACTCTACGGCTGCATGTTAACTCACACCCCACTCACCAGAATGACCTGCTTTGAAATCCTCTCAAACGCTTCATTATTGAGTGACTGAGAATCGTTTCAAGTTGAAAGGATTTCAAATACATTTTGAGTCGAATACTGCACGGCGTCTGTGCAACCATTATGTTTCTGCTATAATGTGTGTCATATGCGGTCGCCTTGTTTTCATATTGCATTGTGAGACATGTATGCTGGTTGTTGTGAGGGCGACACATCTGCACGTCGAGTATCATTCGTTTCAATTCAAATGTCATTGTATCACATGAGATCCATGGACATACTGACAACATTCAAAAGCTCCTTAACCCAACTCTGGACTCTGCACGGTGATGGAGGAGGAATAGTTTGACCTTATGTTGATTTGCTTTCTTTCCGAGAGTTAGATGAGGAGCTGCGTAGCTTAGCTTAGCTTAGCACAAAGACTGGAAACAGGGGAAAACAACTAGTGTGGTGACAAAATCCAAGTGGCAGGACCTCTAAAACACTTCTTCTCATATAATATCTAAATCATAGATGATCCTCTGATCATCTATATTGTTATTATAATACAGGTCATTTATTAGCTTTTTGTTTTTGCTATTGTTAGTATAAAAAATATTGTTTTGGAATGGCTGATGAGACACAAAACAAGAACTTAACTTCTGAAAAATGATGATGGCCATAAATGATTGATGAAAGTTTAATTAAATAATATATATTTTTAAAAGAAGTCCTTAATAGATAACATTGTCTTAGTTGCAGCCCAACTGTTTGTTACAGTTAGTTAAAAGCACAAAACGTTTGTAGACCTTATTTTCTGTAACATCATCACTTATCACCGTCACCACAGCGTCGTGTTTGTCTGGTGCTGCAGAGGGGTGCATGGAGAACCTGACTGGGATTCAAAATGTGACATTGCCATAGAAAGAAATAGAGTTAACATGATGTCATTGTTTTTGATAGTTGTTAATTATGTTCCTGTATTTTTGTGAAACATCAGGTTCCTGGAAACGGACAAGAACACCTGTCGCTGCAGAGGACCTCCAAATCCTCCTCTCACCACGGCAGCCGACGGAAAAACCGCGAGAGATCCCGAGACAGAGACCGGGAGCAGGAACAGAGCCGGGACAGGGACAGAGAGAGAGAGAGAGAACGGGAGAGAGAACGAGAGAGAGAAAGGGAGAGAGAGAGGGAAAGAGGGAGGGAGCGAGAGAGAGTTAATGACTGGCAAACAGACAAACCAGTGGACTCACACTCTCAGGTATGAAGCTACAAACTGAAGACCAAATGACCTTATCATAATATCATGTTGATTTTAAGCCAAAACATTTTAAATACATAAATTATTAAGATTCTGAATATGATATCCTATGAACTGTGAAAGATGTAGTTATCTATAACGAAATACAGGCGTTATCAGCAGGAAGTGTGGCTTAGGAGATGTTGAGCCTTATTGAGTTGAAAATGGCAATATTTTACCATTAGCAGTGCATTCTACATATATATCTATACAAATATGCATATAAAATACATTTGAATGCCAGCCCTTTGTGAATGTTGTCCACTTGTTGCAAATGTATTGTTTGTAGAGAGGCAGTCCAGTGCACAAATTGCATTGTTAGTTCATGGTAACAGATTTTGTATTCAGCCTTTTTTTCAATAGAGCAAAATCAAATAATATATAATAAAGAGGGCCGTAGTGTTTTGTTCAGGCTTGTTCTGGGTAGTCTATTTCAGCTCCTTATAGTGTTCAACTAGAATTGAAAATTAGATAATAATTGTTGTTATGTAGCCTACAAATTCCTGCAACAATTATTCCTTTAATTCATTTTGACATGTAAGTCTCCAGTAGGAAATAACACAGACAGGGTAGGACAGTATTGAGGATTTGGAGAGGGATAAATACACTGTTGGGTTTTATATATTTTGTAGTCCTATGAAAACAATGAAAGATCCTTTTCCTTTAGAGTCATACATTATCTGTTTCTCTTTCCCACCTCACAGAGTCAACCACTCAAGTCCCTCCGCAGGCTCCTTCACCTCTCCCCTTCCTCCTCAAATCAAGGACAGCCTCCTCCTCCTCCTCCTCCAGACCTGCGCTTCCAAGCCCCCCCCCCCAACCCCCCTCAGCCCTCCTCCAAGGCGGGTTACCCTGAGGGCCGAGGGCACGCCGAGAGCAGGGGGCACCCCGGGGTGAGCAGCTCTGCCCAGCCTAAGAGCCGCAAGCCCAGCTACCCCCTCCCCGGACAGATCGAGTCCAGCTGGCACGTGTCTGCTCTGCAGAGGGCGGAGGGCGCTCAGTTCACCCCCGAACAACTGGGAATCAAACCGGGGCAGAACGGACCCACCTTTACCCGAGCGTCCCGTGTCAGGATGCCAAACCTCAATGACCTGAAGGAGACCGCGCTGTAAACCCCCCGCCCACAAAACTACACCACCTCCTAAACGTCTCCACCCTGGAAGCATCTGCCAGATGCAGACATCATGGTACCGTAGTACAAGTTTACATGAAAGCCTATTTCATTGGATCTAGTCTTCATTCAGAAACATAGTCATCTGTTTTCTGGAAAATACAACGACCAGACACTGAAACACGAACACCAGTAACACTGTCGTTTAGGGAAGCAAAGAGAGGACATGGCCCACTCTGTCTGGGGATGCCAGTACTGTATCGCTGTGTGTGACTGTGTGTGTAACAAAGAGAGGACAGATGATCTTTAGTGGCCTCTTTGCTGCCATCTTCTGCTCACAGGACTCTACAGCAAAGCGACTTCTGTCAGGCCGGTGGCCAAGACACTCAAATGTTTTCAAGCTCTGTTATTTGATAAGAACAAAAAAAAAGTTTATATCAACATTATTTATTAAATATGTATTTGTTTTAAATTCAAGGATATAAGCTATAAATGACACAGTATGTAGGTTATATGGGAATATTATAAGGTAATATAGAATTAAATGTGTAATTGCAAGAGCTTTAGTTTCAACACAAAGAAAAGCATAGATATGTATGTGTTAATAATACAATATGTCAAAAATTATATTTAATAATGGTGAATGTCCTTTTTTGTTCAATTTGATAGGTTATTTACCGATTTTCACGCTTTATCATCTTATTTTTACCAGTTTTTCTATTTGTTTCATCCACATGTATAGAAATATTGATGAATATTGTTGCCCAAAGTAAAAAAATATATATTTCACTTCACATCTAGACTAATTCTGCGCTTCACCATCATGACTTACAGTACGTTTTGGAGTTTTGTGACAAGTTGGGCTATTTGTCAACAGGGTTAGGTAGCAGAACATCAAGAGTGAGACTGTTAGGCTCTGTGCTTTACATAAGAAAATGTCTGATCATGATATGTCCCATTCTTGGTGTCACCATTTTTTTAAATGAGCCCCATTCTCAGTTCATTTATCAGTGACAAGAGCTTTCCAGCGCCGTGCTGCCACCTGCTGTGCTGTTGGTTTGGTCTACAGCCCTAACAGCCAGTAAAAAAACATCAAGACTTTGGCGGCCTTTGGTGGTGAAAAGTAAGCCTTATGAAATGAGGCAGGACTAACTCAAGAACAACGTGTAACTGTGCAAAATAGGGGGAGAGCATTCTGCAAAAGGCATACATCACCTACAACCTTTAAGTAAGGAAGGTTAAGTCTGCTGGTATTTTATATTTCTTGTTTGTTGACAAATCCCATGAAAACTAAAAAAACAATAATATATTTAATATATTAACAAATCTTAAGCCGTTTTCATAAAACTAATAGGAATACATAATTGAGCAATTACCATAAACATGGGCACTGTAGTTTGATTTGAATCAATCCCTCATGCTGTCCTGCTGCTGTATTTGCTCACCATAGAACCAACTGTGTATTAATCCGCTGCTGAAAATAGTTCCAACAAACTCACTGTTGACCTGGATTTCTTTACAGTTTACTCATAACCGAGCAGCCCAGCTGTTTATGGAAATTCTTTAGACGTTTTGGTTTTGAAGATCTGATGATCAAGTCCAGAAAAAAGTTTCAACAACATTGTGTGGAATTACTCATATTATATTACTCGCAGCCTGTAATGTGAACACTTTATTTCGTAATTATTTTCTCACAACTTTTGATATTACAGATAATAATAATAATAATAATAATAATATAGTTACCGCAATGATCACTTTCCAGTGATTTAAAATAAGACTGTTTCAGAGTGTTATAACCTTTGTGCATTGTTTTGGTATCTAATAAGCCTTAACACGCAAACATTTCTTACTCCAACTGGCTCCCGTATTGTATTTCAATACCCACCGGTACCTGAAGTAATATGCCCCCAGCTGTGGGTTTATTCTTTTCATGGGATTTGTCAAAATTAACAAAGATATTAAATAACACAAGACTTATCTTTTAATGTTTACATTTTTCATGTGCATTTTAAAAGCTTGTGTTTTCAAAGTTTTTGTAAATGCCTTTTGTAAATCTGAATTTGGTTTTGCTACTGTATTTGCATTACAACTTTTATTTTTTAATATTGATAGTCATAATCAGGGATGATTTTACTTAACTAGGTTATTCATAAAAAGCATTTACTTGTTGTCTACTGACCTGTGGATGATTACAAACAAATAAAATAGAACAAAACACTGTTAGTGGCCTAGGAAAAATATACAGCATCATTTTCCTTCCAGTCTCATCTCAACCCTTCGTTCCTTCTTCTTCCTCTGTGGTTTTAAAGTTTAGTGGAGAAGCTTTTATATCACAGGAGACAACAAAGAAGAATGAATGCATTTGTGCAAAAACTCTAGACATCTGTGGACTTTAGAGAAAATGTTTGAGAAATTCATGTTTTTTGTTTCTCATCTGTTGAGAGGATGAATATATACAAGCAAAAAAGGAATGAACAAATTGACTATATGGCAATAACATTCAGAAAGAGACTGATGCAGATTGTTCTGGCAAAGTTAAAAGGAGCCAAATAGCACAGAAGAATTTTCATAAGGAAACTGTGATGAAAGCAAGAAGAGTGTCCACATATAATATCAAGACATCGCTCTGCAATACATTTTTTATTTACAATTTCACCTTGAACATGACCCAGGGCTATAACACTGCCCAGTATTGTTTATTATTGAGAATCCTGGTTGCTACTGATTGTAAATGACTGCTGCAGTTGGTTTGTCTCTACTATTAATGGGACATTGTGATGACAAAGCTTGCCTTGCCAGTGACCCGAAGCCTTATATTAGCTTTCTGACTCAACACTTCAGATGGAAACGAAGACATGAACCCCATGCAAGCCACATACACTGACCACTGAGATGAGAAGAAGACCTTTTGTTCATGAATATGAATGTGTTTCCTGAAACATTCATTCTTTTTTCATTTAGCTGTTTCCCACTTCTTACAGGGTGTAAATAGAAATAATAGAGAGTATCTATACTGACCATTCTACTTTAAATGATAGGGTCTCATAATAAAAGCCAACTGTACATTTTTGAATGGCTCATATGTTTGTTTTGTAGCACAGACAGACACAACACCAGAAGAGACATGAAACAAGTGTTAATTTAATCCAGGAAATAGTTTAAAGATACAATTAAGAAAACATCTTCAGAGTAAATACAATGAAATAATGAGTTTTCAAAGCACCACGGGAAACTAAATCAAACAAATGAAACAAATCAGGAGTTAACAACAAGCACATTATCCATCCCTCTATCTTTACATTGCAAACACACTGAAAAAAGATGAATGTAAAAATGTTCTTCAGGTTAAAATTGTTACAACTAAAATAGAAAATGGGAATAACATCATCACAGGCGTTTTGAAAGAACAAGTCTTATTATTCTACAGATTCCTTATTATCAACAAATCTCTAAGAGAAGCAAAGAAAGTGTTATTTTTTGCCTTTTTTAATTCTGTCTCTGGCAGTAAAACCACACTCAATTATGTAAACCTAATTGTATCCTTTTTATTTTGTTTATTTTGGTCCTCCCAAAAGTCAATGTTCAGCTGCAGATCAATACACATTGAGTACTTAGAGCAGCAGGATAATGTGTTTGCTATTGACTCAATATAACTAAAGTAATCTATGGTTAAGTCACATAATATGCAACAGGGTGGCTCATTTCTATGTATTTATAGTTTTGTGGAATAATACAACAGATATTAAATGTGGCTTTGGTCACACAAACAAAACTAGGATCAAATGACTTGTTTTTTATATGGAATTTGTTGACAGTAAGAAGAATGTTGATTATCAACAGCCTTATCTTTGAAGGATTATACAGAGGAGAGAGTGAAGGGTCCCTGTTTACTGTTAAATAACAGGAGGAGCAGACAGGATTTCACAGGAGGACACAAATATTTTTGGAAGAGCTTGTGTCTAGCTGTTGGATACCACCTCCATAGCAACGCTGCCTCTCCCTCTCCATGCCTGATTATTTCTTTGAATTTATGCCATTTCTTTGCAAATGCAGCAATCTATTGAGAACGCACCGAATGAAAGCCTGATGTGAGAGGCTGGTTCAACACAGACAATAGAGAGAGGGGAGAATGGAAGCTCTTTGAGCACATCAAATGAACAGTTAATGAAATCACATAAGTCAAATAGTTTTTTTTTTAAATCAGAAGGTCTTGTCTTCAATTTGTGGTTTTATACATTTAGCTGGAGGGGGCAAAATCTGTGAATATAACGAGACCACACACTCAGACGATGGTGGGAATTAGGATGAGATGAGGTTTTGGGAGAAGGCCTCGGGGATGGCGGGAGGAGAGGTTTATTTGCATTTGTCCATGCAAAGCAGCAGCTCCAGGCGCAGAGCGATGCGTGTGTGCCACCCGAGGGGGATGATGCGGATGAAGCGCGCTACGACGGGCGGCCGCAGGAGGTTCTGCACAGACGAGGAGCGGTCAGAATTTCCGTAAAACACCTGAGAGAGGGAAACAAATGAAGGGTCAGGAGGGATTCATTTACACTACTGTGGATTTAAACTGACTGAATATACTGCAGACACAAATCTGTAATCTAAGAGTTAAAAAAGTGTACATATTAAATGATGAGATCCCCATCAGGCCCATCGGTGTAACTTGACTTTTACATTGCTTCACTAAATAGGTTTTGACTGGGTTCTACTTACCCTGTTGTTTCCAGTCTGGTCTTTGTAATAGATCCAGTTGAGCTTTACGTCTGTGCGGTACTGGACGCTGAACTTGGTGATCCACTCATCAGCATCACAGCGGCCCTGGGTGAGGATCCCTGACACCAACTTCACCTCCATCAGGTCGATCTCCACCCACTGACTGTTGTCCTGAAACTTAGAGAGCCAGGCACACCTGCAGGAGGAACACAAACACTGCATGTGATGTCAGGAGTCCAATTAAGACATGATGGTGTGACAGTGCATGCAACATTGAACAATACCAGGAGCATGGAATCTAAGCAGATCACTCTTTTTTTATAGTCCACAGTTCCATTTATCATATCTATTTTTGCATTGCCTGTCTTTTTTATATCAGTATGTCGGTAAGCTGTTTACAACCTGGAAATAGCACTTACCCAAAGCCCTCACTGTTGAGCCGGGCCTTGCTGGGGACCCAGGAGGAGAACCAGCCGGTGTACTGGTCCTGGTTGGAGCAGGTGATCTGGTCCGGACTCACTGACCCGGCCTCAAATCCAAGAGGCTTGTGGTACGGACACTCTGCAGGAGCAAGAGAGACCGATTTATGAACTTTACATTTATTTGTAAGTTAATAGTTTTAGTTAATGAAGAAATAGCATTTTGTTAAGACTCTCTTGCAGCATGAATTTCAAGGTCAGACACACAAACATGTCTGCCAACAGCCAAGCAGCAAAACACTGAGAAAATCTGAGCAGGAAATGATCATCACTATAAGCCTTTCTAGGTACTTAATTCTCCATCCCTCTATCATTTCCTCTCTCCCCATCCTCACACTCTCCCGCTCCCAAAGCCCCCGCTGTTAGAGAACCCGGTGTGACCCATATCCATCCTAAAAGCCTGCAGTTTAATTCTCCACGGTGAGAGATCAGTGATGTCCATTAGGGCGGCAGGCGGACAGATGGCTATGTTATACACTCCGCAGCTTTAGCTCCGTGTTGCTCCTGTGTTTTCATCTGTCAATCTGTCCTCTCTCTTCCACTAAAAAGGCATTATAAATACATGGATAGGGGGGATCAGAGCGCTGCAAGAGTGAGATTGTTTCCCCCTAAAGTTTCAGCGATAACATCAGCTATGGTTATGTGAAGCAGAATCCTGCTGCGCTTTTGTTTACTACTGGCTTAAGCCTACAGGGTCATATCCTGTCTAATCCCTGTATTGCAAACGCATACAGCAGCGGTAACAGAAGTGCCTCTGTGAGTCAGGAGATAAGTGTTTACATAACAGTAATGCAAATGACTTTATAGTCCTGCCTAATGTATTTCAAAAGAAGAATCAAACATATTTAGATGGCTGAATTAATGGTGAAACACGATGGATGGAGGTGGAACAAAATCTGATG